GACATCCTGGACATGGAGATACCGAGGGCCCAAGCTCTTAAAGGTACGAAGGCAGGTGAACGTGAAAGATAGGGGACACTTTTGAGACACACGGGGAGAACAACGCATTTTAGGGATTGTGGTATATATGCAAATAGTTGATATGGTATACATGGGTTATTTATCCGTCCTGAAACCATCGAATGATGAAAGCGTACCTAGTTATAGTAGAGCGATATCGCGACTGTAGCGTCTTGTGCCTTCACCATGGTTCAAAATAAGAAGAGTTGTATTGTAGGTCTGAACAATCACCGTATAACAAACAAACTATTCGACATCAATCCGACTACATACTCTGGTACCACAAACCGATTGTTCCCTTTTGCAATTTGCAACAAAAGCAGAAAGAAGTGAAAATACTTCCGAGTGCAAGCGATGAGCCGTCGACAAAAAGATTTGCGACAGAAACAGCAAAAAACATACAACACCAGGGATTCGCTGGTCGTCACCGACCCAACTACTAGTCTGGCCCTCACTGGCTTATCTATGGGAGAGCGGACGGGATCCCGAGTTTTCCAGTGGGTATGGTCGTATGTGCTTATACGGACATAATTTGCTGCTTATGTATTGCATAAGACGGGATTGTGTATGGCGAACAGTGTGTGTGTGTGATTGAGTGGTGGTGGGATAAACCTCGTCGTTGACACCTTGCGGTCATCAGAAAATCACGGATAACGAAGAATGATGTGATGGTAACATGGGTCTACGATCCCTAAAAGTAGTGTACTTGGATGGAAGGAGACCATACCTATTCAAGATCGTCACTGTAACTGTACTCGTGTCATAATCAAGTAGCGAGCACTCCCATGCATGCGTCGTGTGAGTAATGATGTACACAGCGCCATTAATAACCAAAGAGGAGCGACAATGATGATTCTACAGTACCTAGAAAACTAGAAGAAATAGACTCGGAGAGTTTATATGGACCTCCCTGTGAGTGAGTGAGCGCCGGTAGCGAATGAAAAAAGGAACCGCCGCTTTCTCTTTCACATGCCACGACAATACTCGCGTCTAGCACCATGGCTTTGTAACTTGCCACCTTCAATCGATGTCATTCATTGTCCGCGACGACCGCACATCATCCGACCTTTACGTTTCATAGGGCTGAACTAACTAACCACACTCTCACCGTGATTCTGTCGCTCATCATGCCGCGTGTCGCACAAACAACAGCATGTGATAGTCCCGGGAAGGCGGTAGAGCGGTAGTTGGTAGGGCTGGGCCAGAAGAGAAAATCGTACGATTTTGATGTCAAACCGAGAGGCGCAAAGTGGGTCACCACGAACCTAAAATCCGGGGGACCGGGGGATGGACGACATCGAAGTCGGGACGGGCCTTCTTGGCCTCTGCGTGGGAAGATCTGGAACATTTACTTTTCGAGATTTATACTTACGGTTCTTGGTGGATGATGGCGGTTTGTGTAGAATTGCCTGTAACCAAGACGGATGACTAGCTCCATGCTCACCGAGGACACAACAGGTCGTAATGAGAGACCCTCGGTGTCCTGTAGAGACAGAATGATGGGAGCGAAAGATACAACATGCAAGGGATGACGGGGCGGCCCGACATGGGGTCTTCCATCCACAGTGTGTTGGGCTCTTTTGCTAGGTGCACGAGTCTCAAAAAGCCGCCGATGTGGTTGTCGCACAGATATGTTATCTTCTTCGGATGTGTGGCCTGGAGCTAGGCTGTTGAGGGAATTTGGCGAGTACCGAACCATAGCCGAGATGTGCAACATTGATATTGTTCTCGTGTATCAATGTCAAAACACCGTTCGTCTCTTCCTCGGATTCCGCGGGCTTTGACAACATCCCCAGATTACGAAACTGTTGGTGATTCTGCACAGTTGACGAGGATATCGCGTCTGGGGAGCCCCTGGCGCAAGGCATTTTTGGTATTGCGCACGGATCACCGATCAGAAGGCACGGATCAGAAAGAAAGCCGCGAATCGATCAAACGCCGCCCCCTTTTGCGGAGGAGCTGCGCATGGCTGTGGGGGTTATACACAGTTCCTCAATTTGGCGAGTCAAAACCATTTCGATATCAAGGAACAATTGACCTCTTTGCCGTCAACAAAAGAAGCAATTATGCGCTCGGGCCAAAGGGTTGATTTTAAGGCAGCAAAAGCAGACTTGTTAGGGCCAAGTAAGGGTGCCGTTCCCGCGGGCGCGGACAACATGTTGGGGATCTGCGGGGCCCGGCGCCAGCACTAACATTTTCGTTTGCTGCTGTGCCCTGCCAATCCCCTGAAAAGGCGCTGAACCCCGCCAGCCGACATCCTTGGCCGTCTCAACCCCTCAGTGGATGATGTTTTGGTTGTTTTCAGGGCAAGGCTTGATCAATGCCGTGTTCAACCCTCCTTCTCGTGCGCGGAGATTCGGCCTTGTCGGGGGGTTTCCGTAAAAGGTTTTGGTAACCCAACAAATCTTGGGGGTACGTACCGGAGATCTCATCGTAATTTTCATACATGCCGTTACAGTGTGACCCACCCGACGCCACTTTGGGGGTGGTGTGTGCACGCTGACGGCCCAGACTTTAATGCCAGGGCATCGGTGCTTTGATGCGGCGCTGGGCTTTGGTATGTACATTGTGACATTCGGTGACTTTCCATCATCGGACATTGACTTCGGCGCGCCGTATGTACGAGACTAAACTGATGCCTGTCAGCCTCATTGAGATGACGAGCTTATCATTCAGTCAGCCGCCAATGTTCGTTTTGGAAGCCTGTCATCGCCGATGTTGTCCTTGTGTTGGCATCTTCAAGTCATTGTCTTCCCATTTTCCCCACGTTCCACCGGGGTATTGGACGGAGGTTACATGCGTCCATGTCGCACCAGACGTCAGCTCTCGGTCGGCCGGTCTTTCGGATGCCGGAGCCCCGCGGACAAGCTAGAGACAACTTGGGAAGTCAAGGTCCACTGCCCCCATGATTCGGTTGTTGTTGCTGAATCCGTGGTTGGGTTGAGAAAGGGAAATGTTGGCTGGAGGTTGGATTTGGAAGTCTGAGATATCCTCAATGCAAGCGGTTGTGACGGAGACATCATCTGAGCTGACAAGAAACAGGCGGGCAATCATGCCAATATGATCAAAGATAAAAAGTACAAGAAAGGACGACAGCAGAAGGGCATTTAAAATAGTCATGTCAGAAACAGACGGGCCACACATCGATGTCATAGTTGCTCCAAATCACGTCCGTATGCGGCGTGGAAATGACTGCAACCGGACTTGGGCCGTGCCTCATGAGACAACAAGAGTGTCGATACGTAACGGGGATTGCTGGACCAGCTCGAGTAACAACATTCTTTGGACCATGAAGGAAGACGTCGAGAACAATCAATTGCCATGAGAACTTGTGGACACAACAAAAAGCTGCAAGAACGTCATGTAGTGTATTCGCCGTACAAGCTGACGATGAGCAGAGGTGTGGTTGGGCAGTCGCTTCGGTTCCTGGCATTGTGATTGGAGCAATGGACCTTCCCCAACGATCCCGTCCCAATGAGAATCGCCTTCTGTGATTGGGTGGTGGCTGGCAGTTCTCAAATGCGACCCACAAATTGCATCGCTTGGCTAAATCCACCCCTCCCTTCCGCGCTTTTTGGTGACAGGCTTGGCACTTGCCCCTGGCATCTCCAATTACATAACGAACCCCAAAGGTTCCCAAATCTTGCCGAATCTGGAGGGCGAATCCCACCTTGATGCCATCCACCGCCTTGGATAGGCGGGAGCGGATGGCATGAAGATTGACCTCGATAACGATATCGTTTGGCGGGGTTGAAATGGCACAGCGGGACATTTGAGAAGCATCCAAGGGACAAGCAAGATGAAGCATGAATGAAGATATTTGTGACAGCTCAAGGGCAGATAATCAACATGGCGTCGCTTTCAGGTATTTATGCTTTTTTGAAAGAGACGGGCTGACTTGTCTGAGTTCGCTGTATTTGCGGGGGACCATTTTATTGTTTTGGAGTTGAGGTCGAGCGGGAAGTACCTGTACCCAATTGCCCCACTTGTGGCTTCGAATTCCCATCAAACCCGCAAAGTTCTTGTGTCTCAAAGTCTCCCAATGTATCGGGTTCGCTCTCGTTTCGAAAGTTCAGATGCAATACCCAGGCATTACGACGAATCTTTCACGGCCGTCGACTCGCTCTTGCGCCTTCACCTCCGAGTATCTTAAGGTTCCTGTGCCCTCTTCCGGTCCCCTCCTTCCAGGTTGCTTCGTCCCTTCACTCATCCTTCTGGTCTTGTGGTCTGGTCTTGCCGTCCTCGTCCATTTTCGCTTCAGGAATATCGTCGTCCCTCCACGTCGTCTTCCTCCCTCCTCCCACTTTACCAAGGCAATCGCGTGCGGCAATCCTCCCTCCTCCAGCCAGCACCCCTCCATCTTAGCCCAAGATCTTTTCTTCTTGCTCAGTACCTCGCTAGCCTCGGTGCCGCAAGTCGAAGAGCAGAACTGCGCAAAGTCGAGACATTTGATTGTTTATTGTTGACGTCGACATTGATCGAGCAATCGCACGACACGCACCTTCCCCTACATCCCTGCAGAGATACCCCGTGCGACTTGTGTCGTAATTTTCCAACCACTTTCCACTTCTCCACGACAACTTGACTCGGTGAGTTTTGCATCCCCTCCACTCCATTCACTGCACCTGCAGGCGGCCCCCTTCACTCCCCCCCTAGAGCACCGGGCCACCAGTGCAGCAAGCAGGTTCCCAGTCGAGCCAAGTCCCCCTCCTGCTCGTGCCTGGACTGGACACAATTCGACTCGCTCTACCCCAATCCCAAACCCAACCAATAAAAGTTGATGGGACCACCGCATCCACCACCCTCCATCCTCTTTCCACCACCATAAACTTTAATCACCACCAGCTTCCTCCCTCACGACATCCCATTCTTTGAGGAGCTGGAAACTGACAGCAGCACCCTTTTTGCAGGCGATTTGCTAGCTGAGCTGAGTTGAAGAACCGAGACACTCCACTGACCGATACTCGAATTCGGCTGTTTCGGGAAATTTACGACGACCGAGTGTAAAATCGAGAGCGGCTTCCTCCTCACCGCATTCGATCCACGTCGACGACTCCTCCGACTCGACAAAACAACACATACTTACAGACAAAATGGCGGACACAACAGCGAGCGACGCCGTCGTCAAGGCTTCGTACGCCGCGAAGCACAACTTGGCCCCCCATTTCATTGGCGGTAACAGGCTCGAGAATGCCCCTGCCTCCAAGGTCAAGGACTTTGTGGCTTCCCACGACGGCCACACTGTCATTACCAACGTACGTTTCTTCGCTCTTCCGGCAGTCCAACACACCATTTTCTGACATCTATCTGTTCTCCAGGTTCTTATTGCCAACAACGGTATTGCCGCCGTCAAGGAGATCCGCTCAGTAAGAAAATGGGCCTACGAAACATTCGGCGACGAGCGCGCCATCAAGTTCACCGTTATGGCCACCCCCGAAGATTTGCAGGCCAACGCCGACTACATCAGGATGGCCGATCACTACGTCGAAGTCCCCGGCGGTACAAATAACCACAACTATGCCAACGTCGAGCTTATCGTGGATATTGCCGAGCGTATGGATGTCCACGCTGTGTGGGCTGGTTGGTGAGTAGAGAAAGAGTCCTGCCTCCGGGGTTGATGGCATGATACTGACTGTGCGAATAGGGGTCACGCCTCCGAAAACCCCAAGCTTCCCGAATCCCTTGCGGCTTCCCCTAAGAAGATTGTCTTCATTGGTCCTCCGGGTTCTGCCATGCGCTCTCTCGGTGACAAGATTTCCTCGACAATTGTTGCCCAGCACGCCGACGTTCCTTGTATCCCTTGGTCTGGTACCGGTGTTGACGAGGTCGAGGTCGACGACCAAGGCATTGTTACGGTTCCCGATGACGTTTATCTCAAGGGCTGCGTCAGCTCGTGGCAGGAGGGTCTGGAAAAGGCCAAGGAGATTGGTTTCCCAGTAATGATCAAGGCCTCCGAAGGTGGTGGTGGCAAGGGTATCCGCAAGGTCCTCAGCGAGGACAACTTCGAGTCGCTTTACAATGCTGCCGCTAGCGAAATCCCCGGCTCGCCCATCTTTATCATGAAGCTCGCCGACAGCGCCAGGCATTTGGAGGTTCAGCTTCTTGCCGATCAGTATGGCAACAACATCTCCCTCTTCGGCAGAGATTGCTCCGTCCAGCGCAGACATCAAAAGATTATCGAAGAGGCCCCCGTCACCATCGCCAAGCCCATTACCTTCAAGGCCATGGAGGATGCTGCTGTCCGTCTTGGTCGTCTCGTCGGTTACGTCTCGGCCGGTACCGTCGAGTACCTCTACTCTCACGCCGATGACAAGTTCTACTTCCTCGAGTTGAACCCCCGTCTGCAGGTCGAGCATCCTACCACTGAAATGGTCAGTGGTGTCAACCTTCCGGCTGCTCAGCTCCAGGTTGCCATGGGTATTCCCCTCCACCGCATCCGCGACATCAGACTTCTCTACGGAGTTGACCCCAGGACTGCCACCGAGATCGACTTCGAGTTCAAGAACCCCGAGTCCGAGAAGACCCAGCGCAGGCCTACCCCCAAGGGCCATACCACTGCCTGCCGTATCACCTCCGAGGATCCCGGTGAGGGCTTCAAGCCATCCAACGGTGTGTTGCACGATCTCAACTTCCGTTCGAGCTCCAACGTCTGGGGTTACTTCTCCGTCGGTTCTGCCGGTGGTATTCACAGTTTCTCCGACTCACAGTTCGGTCACATTTTTGCCTATGGCGAGAACCGTGCCGCCTCGCGGAAGCACATGGTCGTCGCCCTCAAGGAATTGAGCATTCGCGGTGACTTCCGTACCACCGTCGAGTACCTCATCAAGCTTTTGGAGACTGAGGCTTTCGAGGACAACACCATCACTACCGGCTGGCTCGATGAGCTCATCTCCAAAAAGCTCACTGCTGAGCGTCCCGACCCCATCCTGGCCGTCGTTTGCGGTGCCGTCACCAAGGCCCACATTGCGAGCGAAGGCTGCATGGCCGAGTACCGTGCCGGTCTGGAGAAGGGTCAGGTCCCCTCTAAGGACATTCTCAAGACTGTCTTCCCCGTCGACTTCATTTACGAGGGTTACCGCTACAAGTTCACCGTTACCAGGTCGAGCGCCGATAGCTACCATCTCTTCATCAACGGCTCCAAGTGCACCGTCGGCGTTCGTGCTCTGAGCGACGGTGGACTCCTCATCCTTCTCAACGGTCGCAGTCACAACGTCTACTGGAAGGAAGAGGTTGCTGCTACCCGCATGTCGGTCGATAGCAAGACCTGTCTGCTGGAGCAGGAGAACGATCCCACCCAGTTGCGCACCCCCTCTCCCGGTAAGCTCGTCAAGTACACCGTCGAGAACGGCGAGCACGTCAGCGCCGGCCAGACCTTCGCTGAGGTCGAGGTTATGAAGATGTATATGCCTCTCATTGCCCAGGAGGATGGTATCGTCCAGCTTATCAAGCAGCCCGGCGCTACTCTCGAGGCCGGTGACATCCTTGGTATCCTTGCTCTCGATGACCCTAGCCGTGTCAAGCAGGCTCAGCCTTTCCTCGGCCAGCTTCCCGAGTTCGGTGCCCCTGTTATCGTGGGCAACAAGCCCGCTCAGAGATTCCGCCTTGTCTATGACACTCTTCAGAACATTCTCATGGGCTTCGATAACCAGATCATCATGCAACAGACCCTGAAGGACCTTGTTGAGGTTCTTCGTGACCCCAAGCTCCCTTACAGCGAGTTCACCGCTCAGTTCTCGGCCCTTCATGCTCGCATGCCCCAAAAGCTCGATACTCAGCTCACTCAGGTCCTCGACAAGGCTGCTTCGCGTTCAGCCGAGTTCCCTGCCCGCAATCTCGGCAAGGTCTTCCAGAAGTTCCTGGACGAGAACCTCGTCTCCAAGGCCGACGCTGAGTTGCTGAAGACCACGTTGGCCCCTCTCACCACTGTCATCGACCAGTACTCTGAGGGCCAGAAGGTCCATGAGCTCAATGTCATCCGCGGTCTCCTCACTTCTTACGTCGAGGTCGAGCGTCTCTTTTCTGGCCGTCGTCTGCAGGACGAGGAGGTCATCCTCAAGCTGCGTGACGAGAACAAGGAGGACATCAAGAAGGTCACCCAGACGGTTCTTTCTCACAGCAGGGTTGCGGCCAAGAACTCGCTCATTCTCGCGATTCTGGACGAGTACCGCCCCAACAAGCCCAACGTGGGCAACGTCAGCAAGTACCTCCGTCCCGTCCTTCGCAAGCTTGCCGAACTCGAGTCTCGCCAGACTGCCAAGGTCTCCCTCAAGGCTCGCGAGATCTTGATCCAGTGCGCCCTGCCCTCTCTCGAGGAGAGAACCGCTCAGATGGAGCACATTCTTCGCTCCTCTGTTGTCGAGTCTCGCTACGGTGAGACTGGCTGGGATCACCGTGAGCCCAGCTTGGACATCATCAAGGAGGTTGTGGACTCCAAGTACACCGTCTTCGATGTCTTGACCCTCTTCTTTGCCCACGAGGATCCTTGGGTGTCCGCCGCTGCCCTCGAGGTCTATGTGCGCCGCGCTTACCGTGCGTACGTTCTGAAGAAGATTGAGTACCACACCGATGAGGGCGAGACCCCTTCTTTCTTGTCCTGGGATTTCTCCTTGCGCAAGCTTGGCCACTCCGAGTTTGGCCTGCCTATCCAGTCCGCTGCTCCCTCCACACCGGGTACCCCTGTGGACAGCACCTTCAAGCGCATTAGCTCCATCAGCGATATGTCCTATCTCTCCCACAAGACTCAGGATGAGCCTACCCGCAAGGGTGTGATCATTCCTTGCAGATTCTTGGATGATGCGGATGAGCTCCTCAGCAGGGCTCTTGAGAAGCTTCCTGTGCTCGGAGCCCGCAAGAGGAACAGCGTGATTCCCGATCTTAACGAGAAGCGCAGACCTCCTCTTCAGCGCCTGGACACCTTTGACGAGCTTTCCGCCGTTGTCAACGTTGCCGTTCGTGATGCCGAGGGTCGCAGCGACGAGGAGATTCTTAAGGAGATCGTTCCTCTTATGCACCAACACAAGGAGGATCTGCTTGCCCGCCGGGTCCGCCGCATCACATTCGTCTGTGGTCGCAATGATGGCTCATACCCTGGCTACTTCACTTTCCGTGGCCCTGAGTACGTTGAGGACGATAGCATCCGTCACAGCGAGCCAGCTCTTGCGTTCCAGCTCGAGCTCGGACGTCTGTCCAAGTTCAAGATCAAGCCTGTCTTCACCGAGAACAAGAACATTCATGTGTACGAGGCGATTGGCAAGGGTGTCGAGACTGACAAGCGCTACTTCACTCGCGCTGTCATTCGTCCCGGCCGTCTGAGGGATGAGATCCCTACTGCCGAGTACCTCATCTCTGAGGCTGATCGTGTCATCAACGACATTTTCGATGCTCTGGAGATTATCGGCAATAACAATTCCGATCTCAACCACATGTTCTTGAACTTCACCCCGGTCTTCCAGCTTCAGCCCGAGGAGGTTGAGCACTCCCTTCAGGGCTTCCTCGACCGCTTCGGCCCTCGCGGCTGGCGCCTCCGTGTTGCGCAGGTGGAGATTCGCATTATCTGCACCGACCCTGCTACTGGCATGCCCTACCCCTTGCGTGTTATCATCACCAACACCTCTGGCTATGTCATCCAGGTCGAGCTTTACGCTGAGCGCAAGTCCGAGAAGGGCGAATGGGTGTTCCACTCCATCGGTGGCACCACTAAGATCGGCTCCATGCACTTGCTGCCGGTCAACACTCCTTACCCCACCAAGAACTGGCTCCAGCCTAAGCGTTACAAGGCTCATCTCATGGGCACTCAGTACGTCTATGACTTCCCTGAGCTCTTCCGCCAAGCCATCCAGAACAGCTGGGCCAAGGCTGTCCAGATGAACCCTGCTCTTGCTGAGAAGCAGCCCCCTGTTGGCGAGTGCATTGACTACAGCGAGCTTGTGCTTGATGACCACGACAACCTGACCGAGGTCTCCCGTGAGCCTGGCACCAACACTTGCGGCATGGTCGGGTGGCTCATCCGTGCTAGAACCCCCGAGTACCCTAACGGTCGCAAGTTCGTTGTTGTAGCCAACGACATCACCTTCAACATCGGCTCTTTCGGCCCCAAGGAGGACAACTTCTTCTTCAAGTGCACTGAGCTTGCCCGTAAGCTGGGTATTCCTCGCATCTACCTGTCCGCCAACTCGGGTGCCCGCTTGGGTCTCGCTACCGAGCTTATGCCTCACTTCAGCGTTGCCTGGAACGACCCCAGCAAGCCTGAGGCTGGCTTCAAGTACCTCTACCTTGACGATGCGGGCAAGAAGCGCTTCGAGAACACCGTCATCACCGAGGAGATCACCGAAGGCGACGAGAAGCGTCACAGGATTGTCACGATCGTTGGTGCTGAGGATGGTCTTGGTGTTGAGTGCTTGCGTGGCTCTGGTCTTATTGCCGGTGCCACCAGCAGGGCCTACAACGACATCTTCACTTGCACGCTCGTCACCTGCCGCTCCGTTGGTATCGGTGCTTACCTTGTCCGTCTTGGTCAGCGTGCTGTCCAGATTGAGGGCCAGCCCATCATTCTCACCGGTGCCCCTGCCCTCAACAACCTCTTGGGTCGCGAGGTCTACACCTCCAACCTGCAGCTTGGTGGCACTCAGATCATGTACCGCAACGGTGTCTCCCACTTGACTGCCAACGACGACTTCGCTGGTGTCTCCAAGATCGTCGAGTGGATGTCGTTTGTTCCTGACAAGCGCAATAACCCTGTGCCTATCAGCATCAGTGTCGACACTTGGGATCGCGACGTTGTCTACACCCCGCCCCAGAAGCAGCCTTACGACGTCAGATGGATGATTGGCGGTAAGGAGGACGAGAACGGCTTCCAGCCCGGTCTCTTCGACAAGGACTCCTTCGTGGAGACCCTCGGCGGATGGGCCCGCACTGTCGTCGTCGGTCGCGCTCGCCTCGGCGGTATCCCCATGGGTGTCATCGCTGTCGAGACCCGCTCTGTTGAGAACATCACTCCTGCCGATCCCGCCAACCCTGACTCGATCGAGCAGGTGGCCAACGAGGCTGGTGGTGTCTGGTACCCCAACTCCGCCTTCAAGACTGCCCAGGCCATTAACGATTTCAACAACGGCGAGCAGCTTCCGCTCATGATCCTCGCCAACTGGCGTGGTTTCTCTGGTGGTCAGCGCGACATGTACAACGAGGTTCTCAAGTACGGCTCCTTCATCGTTGACGCCCTCGTCAAGTTCGAGCAGCCCGTCTTCATCTACATTCCTCCCTTCGGCGAGCTTCGTGGTGGCTCGTGGGTCGTCGTCGATCCCACCATCAACCCTGTCGCCATGGAGATGTATGCTGATGTGGATGCTCGTGGTGGTGTTCTGGAGCCTGAGGGTATCATTGGTATCAAGTACCGCAAGGACAAGCAGCTTGAGACCATGGCCCGTCTCGACCCCGTTTATGCCGACCTCAAGAGGCAGAGCGCCGATGTCAGCCTCCCCAAGGAGGAGTCTGATGCGATCAAGAAGAAGATGACCGAGCGCGAGCAGCAGCTTCTGCCCGTTTATGCTCAGATCAGCGTGCAGTTCGCCGATCTCCACGATCGCGCTGGTCGCATGAAGGCCAAGGGTGTCATTCGCGAGATCCTTGAGTGGCAGAACGCCCGCCGCTTCTTCTACTGGCGTGTGCGCAGAAGACTCAACGAGGAGTACATCCTCCGTCGCATTCTCTCCGCCACTACCCCTGGCGGTGCCCCTAGCAAGGCTCTCACTGCCAGCTCGACTAAGGAGCGCGCTCGCCACCTCCAGCTTCTCCAGGCCTGGAGCGGCATCGAGAAGTTCGATACGGCCGATCGCGAGGTTGCCGTCTGGTACGAGGAGAACCGTCACCAGGTCCAGACCAAGATCGATGCCCTCAAGGCCGAGGCGATCACCTCGGAGATGCGCGACCTTATCCGCACTGCTTCTAAGGGTTCCGATGACGCCGCCTGGAAGGGTGTCCGTGATGTCCTGAGCGTTATGCCTGTTGAGGAAAGAGAGAAGGTCATCAAGTACCTTACTACTCTCTAAGTGTGTTTAGGAGGAGGCAGTGAGGAGTTGTAAGGGGAGTAAAAGAGATGGTTAAAGATGACATCTTATTACATGCTTATACATTATGATTCCTTTCTTGGGTTTGCGTTTTATCGAGCGGTTATAAAAGGAGTTACGAGTATACAAATACTTTAGATATCACGGTGGATTGAGCGTTGGAGGGCGCTCAGCCTATCTGGGATTCTCATTTTGGGCGAACTAGCGAATGGAATAGGACGGCAATAATCATTGGTATTTGCATAGGGGTAGTCGGGTAGTCATTGCTAGCAAAACTTTTCTGTTAATCAGCTGGACCTTGTGCTTTGTCGTGACTCCGTGATGTCAGCCGGTACGATGAGGTACAGCACTCCGATGTTGACCTGTTGCGCGATCTTAGATGATGTATTGGTGTTCCTTCACTAACAAACCTGCACTGAAGTTTGCGGTAATCGAGATAAACAAACATCTCGTCCGGTGCGCAATGGCACAGAAAGTTTGATCCGGAATGCCAAGCAAGCGAAAGCAATTGAAAACTTCACACCCAGATAGAACAGCTGCCTCCGTTATGTTCTCAATCAACTACTTATCCTAGATATCTGATCCAATCTCCAAGGGTTCGGCAGCTGGAGTTCGCTACATTATGTTGCCGTCGGAGGGTTCGGCCCAGCATAACATGCCCGGCACGGCTGGTCCAAGCTCCCGGGTCGGTTTTTTTTGGCAGCTACGTTACCGTACTAACGATATCACAGCAAGTCCTGCAGCGAATGAGATAAGGTGGCATCGCAGTCTTGGCCGTCCATGGCGTTGTACTCGGGATTATCGATGCCATCGGCGACACTAGTTTTCACTTGCTAGAATTCGAAGACGGACGTTCAAGGAGTTGGTGTAGATGGGTCGAATGATGGATTTGGTGCGTTGTATATTTCCCATGTGATGTCGAACCCATTTTGTTGTTGAGTGTCTGGCGTGTCCTTCTATAGGGGACTCCATGACTTCCATTCCCTTCGTGATCCCATTCTCCAGAGTCCAGATACATTAGATAGGTCCTTCTTGGATCACCTTCTTCCCGTTTTCTTTCCATCCTTCTTTTAGTAGGTGGCAACGACACCACGGTCCTTAAAAACTTCTGCTTGTACCTGATCCGTGATGGGAGTTGAGGGTCGCTGGTAGGTATCCTGATTAATGTCCCAACCCTCGGCCTTCACTACTATATATAAATAAACAATATGATCCTATCCATTAAGTTGATATTTCTGCTCTTCTTTCTTTCAAGTTCGACGAGGATCCGTGTGAGAGAGAATCGAGCGTCAACAGTTCACCTCCTGCCTTGCTGCGTTACAGCCACACCTCTGTTTATAAGCCATATCTCTGTTCATGAACAGTTATACTGTCTGAGGTTCTCGGGTAAACAACAACATAAGTCACCATGGCGACGACTATCCTTCAGGAATAGCGACCGTGGGAAACGTTGGTGACAGTCAACCTGAGCCATGGGGTATATATATTCTATAGATTTCGTCGGTAGGAGGGATGGTGATGGTTCTCTTCTTGCATCATCATCACAAGAGTGACCACACGATCTACCTCACCAAACCACGATCGATCACAGACATACGCAATATTGCAACGCAGCCGTCGCTATCTCTGCATCCATATTCTTACTTCCAAACGATATCCATCAAGAACCACAAGATGCTCTATCGTCAACTCAGCAAGCTCGCCGTCGTCGGCGAGAGGTCGGAGGCCCCCAAGGCCAACCAATCTCGACTTCGACGTCCAACCCCATACTCGATCGAGCACTATCGACATGAAGGAGTGCGCGCCTCCAAAGACGACAATCCTCCGGTCGACTCGCCGAGAGGCAGATCACAATCATCGACATGGACGCCTACTCGCACCCGGGCTCCCACCCCCCATCCCAGTGCCACCAAGTCGCGCCGCAGAGAGGAGGAGAAAACTGTTCAGTGGACGGATTCGTTAGAGCAGGAGTCGCCCGTGCAGAAGAGCGTTCCAGCGACCGCATTATCGGAGAGAAAATCGGCCATGAAAAGGCAGACAACAACCGAGCAAAAGGAAGCAAGCTTCACAGAGAAAGAGGAGGATCGACCCGACAATTCGTCAGAAGAACCAGCCATGCCGAAGACTGATGAGGAAGCGACATTAACGGAGGCCCAGCCTCGTGCCCTGCGTCGAGACAGGCGCTCTTCGATCCCTAGACAAAAGTTCATTGTCTCGAGGAACATATCGAAGCCAATTGCTCTTCCTTCAACCGTTCCGAATCGACCACCCAGCCCCCTTATTCCCCAAGCAGTCCCTGCGCCATTACGCCTTTCCCAACGCCGGCACCGGGGCCAAGCCATTTCTTCATCAGCTTCTGCAGCTGCAGTTACGGTAAGACAACGCAAAATCCCCAGAAGACGGACCACGCTGACCAGAAACAGTCATCAAAGGCCAGATATGACCACCAACCCGTCTCAAAAGCGACACGCGACTTCTCGTTTGACGACAAGCCGGAAGCCATTACCGTCAGCTTCGGCTCCGCCCACCAGAGTCACGAATCCAACACAACCAAGGACCGTTCGGTGTCCTCTCAGCCACCCTCGTACCTGCAGATGAAACCCAAGCGCAGCGGTACCACCAGGGCCCGTCCAACACCCCCGGAGGCTGTGCGAGAACCAGTTTGCGCGGAAGATTGCAAAGAGATTAAGCCCGCTGCTTCTCTGCCCAAGTCCTCATCAACCCAGACCTTCGCTACAGCCAAGAGTTTCTGGGCCGAGAAAAGTGCCGGTACCAGTGTCAGTGACCGCAATACTTCCCAGTCCAAGTCCACTTCCACTTCCAAGCCTGTCAGTGCCACAGTAGATGTGACTTCCGCTCGCAGTAGTAGTCCATCCAAGCCACTGCCCCCCTCAGCTTCCACGTCGTCGTTCTAGTCCGCCAAAAGTTTCTGGAGCGATATCAGTGCCTCGAGCAGTTGTGTGGCTGTTGTGTCCGGTTATAATTCTGAGACTCCTAAGCCGGCTTTGCCCCGTAATGCTAGGGACTTGCCCAAGACGTTCATGGTGTCGAACTTGTCGAGGTATACGGTGAATGGAGGTGGCCGTTCGGGTGAAAAGCGTAGTACCGAGTGTACAAATGGTAATGGTAACGTCAGTGTGTCCTCCGTGTCCGGTTCGTCGACTGCCGTCATGGAGAGTTCATCCACGAGCACGAGCTCGTCATCGGCTTTGTCTTATCGCTCAGCCCAAAATGACAAGACCGCCCCTGGGAAAAGGAGCAGCAGCAAGATTCCATTGCCCAAGCCCCAGGACCATTCCAAGCCTGCCGCTGCTTCATCAGTTAGTGCCGCTTCCAAGAGCTCCACCGATACTTCATCCTACCGCACCGCCAACAGCCATCTCAGCGCCACCAGCGCCAGCAACTCCAATACCAGCGCTTCAAACCACATGGCCGCCAACTCTACCTCCATCGAAGCCGAGTACATCCTAACCATCCAATCCGACCTGTGGAATGAGATCATGGACTTCTGTCGCTCTGACTCGTCTTCTCTGATGCCAGGAGAGCAGCGGTACTGCGATTGCGACGATTGCGTCTGGGGAGGGGAGCGAAATGTAGAGGAGTGCAGCACCGTGGCGAGGGTTGGGGAGGGGAAGTGTAGGGCGAGGAGGGAGTAGGCGGATTGGGAAAGGTTTCTCGGAGCGTCGAAAGGCGAGGGTAGGATGTACGAGTAGAAAAGAAAATGAAAGTGTGCAAGTCGAGACCTGCCGCTGGAGGGAGGGAGAGATAAGATACGCAGCATGCCTGCCGGGGTTAGCGCAGGGACAACGGCTCTGGATAGAGGAAGCCGCCTGCTGGACGGAAGGAGGAGTTAAAGGTTCTTGATCAGCTGCAGATAATAAAGCTTGTGATAAAAATATCTCGGTCCGTTTAGCACGTTGATTGATCTGATGTGGTAGCGCAGTGATGATTGATGATGCTGGTTCCTGTAAGAGGGTGATCCAATCCCGGGCCCTTGGCGGCCTATTACTTCGCTAACAGATGGCTACCAGGAAAGGCGCTAGTTGCGTTAGGTGTGCATCTTATTCCGTTTTCGTTGTCCGACTATTAATGCCGTCGCGATAAACGCGGATTTTACTCCCCGGGACATGGAAATGAACCTTGATGGATACGGGGCTGAGATGGGTGAGTCTAATAGGTGATATAATGCCTTATATATAGGTATGATATATTATGTTGAACTCGTTTTCTCATCGAGTGTCTCGCTTGTCTTGAGGGAGGAACTTTCTCTCGATCACCACACCTGCTTTTTTCCATATCTGTTCCCTTCGTAACAATATTCCAGCTACAGTAGACGCTCTTTGGGTCACATTGCTCCCTTTCCTATCATTTGCTTACTCGGGGATATTGACAACACCGTCATGCTCCTGGTACTGCCTGTCCTTGGCCACTGATGGGAGTGGACGGTCACTGTTGTCCCGAATTCTGGTGTTCATGAACAGTATTGCTGCTCATAGGTTCTCAGCATTTCAGGCAAACAGCAACACCAGTCGCCATGGCGACGGCTGTCCTTGAGGTGAGGCGACCATGGTGAACGGTGGTGACAGTCAACTTTGGCCATATCCCATGGGTTTCGTGGGTGGGAGAGGCGGTGATGGTTCTCTTCTTGCATCATCATCGCAACACAACCAAGTGACCTCACACATATAACTCAACCACAACGCCGCAACAGTATTCCACCACAACAAGGTAGCCCCCTTCTCAGCATCAAAATTGTGCAAGATCCACGAGATGCTAAGAAGTTGAGAACTGCCAGATGTCCAATCACTTTGACGAGCTGCGCACCGCGCGTAAAGAGGGTCGACCCCTACACCGGTCGGACACCTCGAACCAGAAGTCCGATCGCTTTCACGAGCTGCGCACCGCACGTAGGGAAGGTCGGCCACTGCATCAGTCGAATACCTCGAAGAAAAGAGACGACCCAACGGAAGAGCGCCATCCCGGACCTCGATACAGGCGTCCGACTCCGCATCATATCGAACCCTGTCGCGATGAGGGAGTCTCCGAGCCCTACCCCAAAGGCGACAGCCCGCTGGCCGATGCCTTGAGAGGGAGGTCGAGATCCTCTCCGCCTCCCCGGACCCGGGCGCCAACACCACATCCTCGTGCTTCGGCGCCGCGCATGACGAAGAAGACGGTACGCTGGGCCGATCCGTTGGAACAACCGACTCCGCGAAAGATAGGATCGGAAGAAAAGGGGAGGGACTCGGAGACACCGGAGAAAGATGAGGAGGAAACCCCGGAGGAAGACCAGCCCTGTACTTTGCGCCGGTACAGGCCTTTAAGCATCCCGCGACCCAAGCGCAGCGGTTCAGAGCCGGAAGTCTCCAAGCCGTCCTGTTCCGACCGTCGCCCAACCCCGATCTTCACCATCGAGGTGAAACTGGCGTCTCAAGCTCGCCAATCTCCTCAGCGTTCGCTGAGTCCACTCATTCCCCAAGCTATGCCCGCACCCCTGCGCATTTCCCCGATCAAGACGTCTACACGTCGGGTCGCTCATGCCATTCCCTCTTCTTTTTCCGCTCCAGAAGTCCAGGTAAGATTATCCCTTGTCCCAAAAGAGGATTGACAACGCTAACCTCGTCAATTACCAGACCAAGTCCGCAACCAGAGACTTTTCCTTCGAAGGCCAACCCGAAATCATCATCCTCAGTCCAGATCACCGTCGCCCCCATCAATACCTTGTTCCCGAACCCACTCAAGAGAAACATTCCTCATCTCAACCAACTGCCTTCTCATACTTGAAGGAAAAGCCCAGACGTCCGGGCACCGTCCGTCCCCGTCCGTCCGACGCCAAGCCTGCTTCCGCCGAGCCTGCTTCCACCATGGCCGACATCAGCAAACCAGCCCTCCAATCCTCCTCATCAACCTCTTCGTTCCATACCGCCAAGAGTTTCTGGAGTGACATGGACAAAAGCGATAGCAAGAATCGCGATTCTTCTTCTTCTCCCAAGCCCGTGTCTCCTATCAAGCCAGGTCAACCCCAAGGTGATGTGACTGCTGTCTTTGATCGTGTCTCAAGTAGTCCATCCAAGGCCGCTGCTTCCAAGATCCCGATACCCAGCTCGGCGTCCAGCTCGTCCTTCCACGCCGTCAAGAACTTTTGGAACGGGATCAGTGGCAGTAGCAGTTGTGGTGCTATCGTTGACGGTTCAGAGGATGTGAAGCCTGTTTTTGGTCCCTCTGCTGTTGCTGATCGTGTGGGGGTGTTTAAGACGTCCAAGGTGGCGGAGTTGTCCGGGTATACGGTGAATAAGCCCGTGAATGGCCCCGTCAATGTCCGAAGCAGCATCACCAGGATTCCCATATCGTGCTCCGAGGCTGGTTCCGTGGGTCGCGATGTATCCAAGTCCAAGTCCAAGATACCAGTATCTTCCACTTTTTCCTACCACGTAACGAAGACTCAGCAAAGCCGTTATGTCCCTCTTCGTGCTGTCAGTGGTGATAGTGCTTCCCGGTCTAGCTTGAAGCCCTCAGCCGATCCTACTTCATCCCTGAGCGGCATATCCAGCTCCTCATCCTACCGCACAGCGAAAAGCCATCCCAACAACGGCAGCAATAGTGACGCTTCCGCTTTTGCTTCCGGTCCCAAGATGACAAGCACGGCCTTAACCACCGCCATCCTTTCAAGCAACGACTCAGCGCGAGCCGAGGACACACCCTCCCTCCAGTCGCAGCTATGGAACGATGTGATGAATCTCTGCATTTCGGAGTCGTCTTCATGCCCGCAGTACAGCGACTGCGATGATTGTATCTGGTCCGGTCAAGAGGGAGTTGATCGCTGCAGCACGGTGGCGCGTGTTGACGATGGGAAGTGTAGGGGGCGGTAAACGGTCGAACAAAGGGAAGGCGGGTGGAACAGAACAGAACTCGAGAAGAACAATAATCGATGGTATGAATGGTCGCTCGCGGTTTACGGGGTCAAGGTTCGCCGTTTCGGTCGTTTCGGTCGTCAGGAAGTCGGTCGCGCGATTCGTGGACTGCAGTGGAGGATTGGTTCGTCTGGGACTAGGGAAATGTCAGCGTATTTGGAAGAATCAGAGCCGGAGAAGGAAAGGAAAGATGGGACGGACTGTTCACGGAAGAGTGTAGAGTCATGTACATCGGCCGGAAGAGATGCCTGCCGGTGATGATGAGGGGAACCGGGAAGGAGCAAGTTCTGGAACTGGTGGGCGGTGGCACCTGTGGTCGACCCGGGAACTTGGGTCAAGTTCGGATGGAAAGAAGGAATATTCCAAGTAACTGCAGATGATAAAGTTCGGGGTGAAGTCCTCCAGGTTCGGTTTATCGTGTGGATTGTGATTTGATGTGATAGCGCAGTGATGATGATATCCTGATGATGCTGCCTCGGCTGTTCCCGTTAGAGGGTAATCCACTTGCTTGCCTTGGTAGCCTGTTACTTTGCTAACAGCTGTACACGCAAACCTGTGTTAAGCATGTTAGTTGCACATCTCATTCCTGCATCCTCCGCACTGTCCTGCACCCACTACCTTTCTCCGTGCGTCCACCGGGGCGACGGCTTGGCCTTTACGATCAAAAACATGGATGATTGCTCTTGCTCAACTTTTCGTTGACACATCACCTTCCTCTCCGTTGTATCTTCCTACAACTACCTTTGCTATTTGTGATCATAAGCAACATAACACGCAATCCTCCCTTCCTCATTCAATGTCTTCCTTCTCAACCTTACGGAAGAGCGTCCTGATGGTTTCCAGGGCCAATAGATCTGTGACTCAGACTGACATGGTCGGTAGACTCACCAAGGTTTTCAGGCCGCGATGTTTAAAAGCCCAGGGGTCTACTCCATCTCCATCTCCATGTCTCCTTATTCAACTCACTCATCGTCAAGATGTGTACCGCAATAATGATCCTACACACAATCTGCACCCACCACACCCGCCGCCGCGAACCCTGCTTCTTTGCCTCGGGCCACTGGACCGAGAAGCTCACCATCCCCAACGCCCCCAAAAATATCGTGGCTACTCTCAAGACTCCCGGGGCTTGTAATTGGAAGCTGGACATTGTCGATCGGATTGAGTTTGGCTATTGCTCGTTGTGCCTGGGGACGGTGGAGGTCAACGTTTGGTTGAAGTATGAAGAGAGGGATTTTGAGGGCGCTCAAGAGATGGAAGATGTGGCGGGTAGTGGGAGTGTGTGGGGTTGTTTGGGAGATGGTAGGAGGGGATGGATTTGATGACAGTAGCGCAATTCACTTGAAGCCTACCTCTACAACATTTGTGCACCATGAAGCCCAACTATGAACCTTGTTACCCTGGATTTGAAAATCATTATATACTTCGTACTTGTCTCAACGCTTCCGTAGGTTTCCTGGTCTTCAAGATCTTACCGAGTGTCTCCCTAGGTATGTTGCTCATCCATGCAGATCACCCGTGCTCCATGTTGGGGACTTCGTTCAGGACTGAACCGAGCTAATCTCTTCCAGTGCCAAACTAACTGCTCTACGGAAAACAGCAGTCTGCTCAGGTTCTTCCCGTGTAGCGGTTGGCTGCCCGCCTAGTGTGGGTCAACGACTCAACGTGCCGCCAGCATATCATCTGAAGTGACGGCGATGCCCAAGGCTCGTTAACACTAAGACACTGAAGGCGGCAACGGCCGTGCGAGGAGCGGTCAATCTGGCAACAATGCATTTGCAGTCATGGACAGAGGGCCATTACCATTCACCCGCAGGCGAAGGTCGGCTTTCGATCCGGATGAGAATATGGCGCGGGGCACCAAGGTGCAATATCCCATGACCCGACTTCACCCTTCTTACTTCAGCACCACCACAAAACAGCGATTTTGAGCGACAGTCCGCAACTAGCACATTCCCTACCAACCAGTAACCCGGGAATCCAGGAATCGTTCCTGTGATCTTCTTGAAGATGTGCTTCACCATCCACAAAACCTACACCATTTGTGGCCACAGCACGTCTCAGGAGTGGTTGTACAAGGTGGGCGCCCAAAAGAAGTTCAAACGCCAGTTTGGATTCAAGGGTGCCCGGGTCAATCGACCCGTTACTTGTCCAAGCCCAAGGAAGGACAAGAAGAAAATTCAGTTTGGCTTCTGCGATCGTTGCGTAGATCGTCGAAAGGCCGTGGAGAAGGCACGTGCCTGAAGAGAACATGGTGAGTTCCATCCTCGTAGCTTCCTTCCCGTATTCCTTCTTGATCAAGGACTTTCTAACCGCGATGATACATCTAGGCAAAGAGTGCGGTCTCCGAAAGACACGCCACGACGAGCGGATCCCAAAGAGCAAAGATTTGAACCATTTGAAAGAGAATAAATAATGGATTGATCAGCGGGGTCAAGCGCAACTCCAGACACAATCGCAGGCTTCGACCCCAACACCAAGCCATGAAAGAAGACGATCATACGCCTACGAACTTCCGCCCCTACAGCAACCTGACGACGCTTTCTGGATAGCAAAGATGCTGCATCGTCGCTGGCCACGAGCCTTATCAGCTGGACTACATTGACGAGGACATATTGCCGCAACTTTCCACTATCATCATAACACAGGCAGACAACTCGATTGCCATTCGGCGGAAACTGCACGGCGGCTGGGGTTAGGGGGGGCGATTTACAAACTTCCTAAGCCCGCGGTTCCTACCCATGGCTTGGGCAGAGCTGCACAGTTCCCGAGGAAGAAGAGGATGGTGACGCCTACGGGTTTGGTAAAAAGCTGGAGGAGAAGGAGTTATTGGTTGATGAAGAATGGGGCATGGGGATGGTTGGATAGGGGGCCCTTGAGCTCGCATGGGGACACCGGGGATAAACCGTCACTGTCATGGTGTTGACGACAAGCTTACGAAGCCCTGGATACAACATGAAGAGAAGCAGGGGCAGATAGAGGTATCTATATGGGAACAGACATTGGAGAAAAAGTCGTGGACAACATGGTGTCTGATGGTGATGGAATAACTTCGTGCACATCCGAGTCCCAGGACAACGTAGACATTCTTCCTCCTTGACTTACCTACAGCAGAACCTCGAGAAATCCAAAGTCGGAGGATGGAGAAAAGTTCCTTTTATCGTCAGGCATATGCCCGACTACAGCATGCAGATAGGTGCATGCGCCGACATATAGGCCCGCCCAGTTGGTGAGAACTCTACAATATTGGCCACCGCCGAACCCTGCGTGCGTTTAGATGCACAGGCTTGAATTTCCTCCTTCCGCTGTTCATGCATTGCATCTTGCGGCTTTGGAATTCCCCATCTTAAATATTCATTCGAGATACTTCCTGTCATACTTTCATGCCAGAATCGGATCAAAATAACCACCTGGGACCTCTGACTCACGAAAGGTGATCTTGTTCAGTGTTTAAACCGGGAAGGCGAGAACAGAACCTTGAAACTGAACGATTCTGTGCAGACCAAATATCCCATCCGGAGTTCAATCCATTCACCGGCAGGCGACCATTCACCGGCAGACGACCGTCAACCTGATAGCCATGGGATTTTAAGTCGGAACCCCAATCCGAACTTCCTACTTAATCCTTCTCTCAACCACAACACAACACAGTCAATTCAACTTACCTCCAAAACGCTGGGATCAACCTTCTTTTTTCCAAACACATCCAACCATTTTCTCTACCTCAAAAAAACCATCCTCGCCAAAGATGTCGCCTCCCAAGCATTCACTACCGATCGCCCACTGGGCTGCTATCCTCCAGCAAGCCCGCATTGAGCTTGAGCTTTTGTCCGGCGAGGTCAGTAAGCATCCTATTGCCCAGTGCAAATCAGACTCCTCCTCGTTAATCAGTAGTCAACTAACTCCACGAGGAAAACAGACATTCACCCTCCCCGACGAGACTCCCTGGTCGGTTGTCGTCAAGAAGAAGGGTAAGAAGAGCAAAAGGAAGGACAAGAAGAAGGACACAAAGAAGATTGGCAAACGGCCCGCACCCGACAAGGTCAGTGAACATCCTGTTGTCAAGTGGGAATCGTAGTCCACGACTTCCACCAGCAGTCAGTCAGCTAATGGCGACAAATAGTCTACCTCACCTTCCATTCACGACAACCTCGAGAAATCCGTCACCTGGCATACCAGGGATGTGATGAAGCGGAGAACCACGTGGAATCATAAGAAGAAGCGGGTGTACACCTACACCTCCTTGCCCAAAGACTTCGACATCTATGAAGACACCAAGGCCCTATCCAAGGCCGAAAAGCACTGGATTATCAGCGGCCACCGATTTCACCCGCAGCACGGACTAGAGCCAATACCCGAGAAGAGCAAGCTCTCCTTGACAAAGCCCAGGTTGCCCAGGGTCGACCCGATCCCACACCAGCGACGGGGTCCAGTGGCGGTTGTCCCTGCACCCATTACGACCGGGAAGTCGCTCTGGTCGCAGGTGGCTGCCAAGCCAGCCGTGCCCAAAGTGCCGGTTAAGCCACCCGTCACTAAGCCATCTTTTGCCAAAGTCTCGGCTAAGCCACCCGTGACTAAGCCGGCGGCCGTGTCCGAAGTCCCGGCCAAGGCACCCGCCGTCACGCTCAAGAAGAAGATGCCGCCAACTTTGGGCGTTCCGGCCTCGAAAGTGTCCCCAGTTCCAGCTGCGACACCCAAGCTGCCAAAGCTTCCTTCCGTCGACTCGACCCTCCGTCGGCAGGGCCTCGGCATTTGATTCTTCGGTGCGCTTGTTGTGCTCGACGCTGGGGGGGATGTTGTTGCCGGTGGTTAAGGTGGTGCTCGACGAAGCTATGTAGGGGTTGAAGTTGGGTATGGGTCTGTTTGTAGCAAGCAGTGGTGGTATTTTGGGATCCATGTCTGCTGCGTGGCTTTCCGGCATAGCGCATGGGAGTTATAGCGCTGGGTTGTGGGAATGACAATCGATTGAAGCGAGTACGGTGTCAATACTATCGCACTGTGCATGCCAGGCATCGCTCATCTTCATGTAGACCCGCCGTGTTCAATCGAGTCAAAAGTGAGCGAGTTACCCATAATGTCGCTCTTCCCCGTACTATGGAGAGGTCGGGGACGGGTAAGTTCTTCCCCATGTATTCTATTCCGTTTAGGGAAATCATGTTCATGTGTGCGGAAATTGCATAGCGGGGCCGACTTCGCACTGTGCATCCCTAGCGGTAACCTTTTGAAAGACACTCCAAATTTCTGACGTATCGTAAGATATGTCCCCGATGATGAATGGTCCTAATGCAAGTATCTTGACACTAAGAACTCGCCCCATTGTTCTTTTCGGTTAATATTTTATTATGCAACTTCCTGATGGCTTTCACCGTCAAATGGGTCGATCGACGACTCGACAGTTCCTCCCCACTTCAACATGGAACTTTCATTCCACACCCTGAACAGGTAAAAACTGGAGGTTCAACGGTTGTAGACTAATATACCGATGTTCCCCGTACTATTGACCAGGTAGGTAAGGTATATTGTCCGGATCGACAGGAGAGATTTCCGGACACAGTCTCTCTATTTTTAGCTCCCGGCTTCCCGCTCGCTTATCCATATCGTGATCTCGGTAACTCGGTAGAGGTCCCTCAGCCCCCAAAAATATCTCGGCTGCCGTTATAATAAGCTAAGCAGCCCCATTTCATGATCTCGCCCTACAAGTGTTGACCCCTATGCTTCCCCGTTATCTCCGGTCCAGCAGCCCTACATATTCCTGCTGATCAGCACTCGCCGTTGCGATGGAAACCTCAAGGCTTGCTTCAACCATAGTACAGGCGCCGGACAGTAATGCTATCACCAAGCACGACAACGACAACGATAACATGATAGCGACAGCAACGACGGTAATAGAGGCAGTCATACCGGCGACCATACTACTTTATTTGCCACCATGAAGATAACGGTCGAACACATACCCAACGACACATTACCAACAATACATCAACACATTCAAAACAGTTATACCAACAATCCTGACAACCCGCAGTCACTCGGCGATTCGAGATGGCCGGCGGATTGGTCTTCACGGGCATGCCGCGGAGGAGAGAGGTACTCGGAACCGGAATCATTCGATGGACAAAGGTTGTCAATCCCGATGGGTCGGTGACTTGGCAAGAGGATCAACCCACGGAATCTGTCAATTCGAAGAAGGAGGAGAAGGGCACAAAAACCGATAAGCAAACCCTCGAGAGGCCAAGCTGGATTGACGTTAAGAAGGAGTCCAATGTCCGAGTCAACAAGCGACTTGCTCATGAGGTGGAGGATTTGGAACAAAAGCAAGCGAAGGTAGAGGCACGACCTACACGCGCTTTCAGCTTCCGGACAGAGGAGAAGAAGACCGAGCGGGCAGAGAAGACCACCAACGTCGAGGAAGTCCGCTTCGATGCTTCGGTCCGGGACGACAAGAAGAAGGGCTTTGTCGCTGGACTCGCCTCGAAACTTGACAGGACAGCGGAGGAATCTGTGTGCCCGAAGAAGGAGACGAAGAAGGAGAAGGTCGAGACACAACCAGCACACCCATTCAATCCCCCACCAAAAGAGGAAGAGAACGCCAACGCTGAACCTCTCCGCTCCCACTGGTCGAAGCAGGAGGACGACAACAAGCAAGAGTCCGACGCCGAACTAGCCCAGCGCCTCGCCAACACCGAAAAGATCTTCCGCCAACAAGAACAAAAGATTCAAGCGGCGCTCGACAGGATTCGCGATTTGGAGAAACAACTTGCGTCGGGCTTTGCGAACAGTACCTCTACCGAGTCGGACGAGGTCCAAAGCAAGACGACATGGGACAACGAGTCAATCGCTGCCGGCGGGCGCGAATCAGGGCCACACTTTAGACAAAGCAAGTCATCAGACGACGAGCCAATGTCTCGCATTTCCGCAAAAGGTCCGCTCCCCTGCCTCTCTGATCATGAACCACACAATTATCGGGTTTTGACCGTCAACAGCAACAAGCCCGAAGTCTGCGCTGGAAGCTACCACGAACCCAAAGTCGGCAGCACATGCGAGCTAGACGGCACCCGGACACCCAGTCCCATAGCAGTCACCATCAACATCCCACCAGCACGCCAGAACCCGGAACCACACACAAAGCCGCATCATCATCATCTTCAACTTCCTCCCATCGTCAGACACACCCCGCAGCATATCTCCATCACCCAGAGACTCCGCACAGTTAACATTCCATGTCCAACCTCGAGTGCCGGTGCCGGTGCCAAACCCAAACCCAACAACACTCCAGCTGCCGCAACAAAACACAAAAAGCCACTCCCCTGTCTCCCCACCGACGCCAGACCATCACTAGCTTGTGCCCTAACAACAACAACAACAACACCCAGCGGTCCCGGTCCCAGCCTCTGCCTCAGACCAAGGCCCGTTCCCCGCTCTGTATCCAGCTTCAAAAAACAGCAGAGAATCGAACGCCTACTCACCCCGATCCCCGAGGAGCCATCGTGCTCGCTAAAACGCAGACCGAGGGTGCCGAGGATGAGGAGGTCGAGGTCGAGTAGTGTTAGGAGGGTTTCAGGGGTTTCCGTGTCGGGGGATTGTAGCGTCAGGCCGGGGTCGGGACGGAGCGGGAGTCATTGCAGTGGTGCCGGCGCGGAGGGTGGTGGCGGTGGGAGTGGGTGGAAAGGGGAGGGTCTGGGGCTGGGGGGTTTGAGGAGGGGATCGATTGAGAGGGTTAGGACGAATTGAGCGGGGTTGGAAAGAGGGCGGGGTTTGAGGTGGTAGCAGCTTGGTGGGTGTGAGAGGGAAGGGAGGAATGACTTCGATTTGGGAGGAAGCGGGTAAAATTCCGGCGAGCTCGGCGAGAGCGGCCGGATAGAGTCTGGTGGGGGGGGGCTTACAGGTCGTCGAGCCGGTGTGGGGCACGGGGCCGAGCACGGGGAGGGACACTCGGGGTTTTGGATGCAAAGAAGAACTGTAAAATATGAACAAAGATATTATCAAGGGTTCGGAAACCTCCTCCATTTTCATGGGCATTTGCACGATCAGAGAATTGTATGTAGGTAGCCTCAATCACACGCCTCAATCACACGGAGTCATATTCTGCGTATTTGCTACCTGCCGTCTTCTACCGGATTAATCATTATAGCAAAAATCAGGCTCTCAATGCCCAATAGCTGTAGGTGTATGACCGAACATGGTTGTTGATGCCATGAACACACGTGAATTGAAGTGCGGATCTCGTCTAAACCCTTCCCTTATGCCTTGCAGATGCCATGATCCCATGCATCTTTCCATGTCCCAGCTCCACCCCGCCTTCCATCTTCCGCCATCTTCCCTTAACGTCCGTCACTTTCCATGTTTCCTATCCTCTGCTTCTGAAACCCTTCCTTTTTGATCTTTCCACGCCTTTATCACACCCACTACAGTCATCGTTGACAACCCTCGTAGAAGCGCACACACACTCCCACTCTCGCCTCCGTGACTCTCACAATATGCGGCAACGATCAGAACACTGGCTGGACAACTAATCAGGATGCCGGGTATCGATCCGAGTATGAGCTGCAAACAGTGTCAGCTCTAGCAGGCTGCCAGCCAGAATGCAAAGTTTCTCGGCCGAAATAGGTGCCTGTCGGAGCGTCCGGAGCCGATGTGCACCGTTCGACCGGCGACTCAAAGTTGTCGTGGGCGTGCATGGCGATAGCTTTCCTCCGATATAGCACCACGTGCGGCGGAACCGGAGGTGGTTGGCACTCCGCATCATCCTTTGGGTAGGTCTCGTCCGGAATTGGCGGTAATGGGCGGTGCAGTGGGTGCCGACCAGTGAGGATCGGCTTATAGGAGATTGGTAGGGGAGGTATTGTGTCCGGGCCGATGCGCTGCCCTGCTTCTTGGGCGGTTGGATCTGCTGGGAGGTTGACTTCCTGTCTGATAAGAGGCTCGAGGTCGAAGGCCTTGCGTTGGCGAGCACCAAAGTTATTGGCAGCTGGGATCGGTCTCGGGATCGGTCTCGGGATGGGCTTCGGTCCACGTAGATGCAACCTTCCTCCCTCGCCTCTACGCAAAGGATTGGTAACAGTCATGAGGTTCCAGTCCTCTCTGATGGTGCGATGAGTTGTCGGCAAGTCCCTCGGTCCATGCAAGGCCACCTTTTGTTCGTCTTTTCCGCGTTCCGCACCCGTGATAGTCTTGATCTTGTCTCTGGGCAGGCTCAGTCTAGGGAGCCTTTGGTCGCATTTGCTGAGCGCTGGGTTCGCGCTGCCTCTCAACCGAAGTAAAGCTCTTCCTCCCCCACGTGCAGTAGGTTCAGAGCTTGTCGTCTTGCCCTACTTCGCTTTGTTAGCATGGAATTCATCGTTCAGGGTTGTAGGTGTGCTTACATGATGAGGAGACTTGTCGTTTCGGTCTTTTGCCCGTTGACATGGGATTCCGGGATGACTGAGGCCCTGGTGGAGGTTAGTACCGAGTCTATGATTCCGGAGTCGCTCCGTGCATTGGCCGCTTTCACTTACAATTTGACATCGGAAATCCTCCACTTCATTAGGAAGCTTAGTTCTGGTAGACGAGTCTTCGGCCGCCCCTTCCGCATTCTGGTTCTTTGTACCGAACTCCCCGTTGTTGGCTCTCAGAATATGACCGCGATGAAAAGGCTTCTCGTTCTTCGATGTGATAGCCAAACCGGGGCATGTGTCCTTGTTGCCATGTTGCTGTTCGCATCCACTTTGCTACTTCGGGCCATGCTCGCCTCCAACTTCTTCGTTCTGCATTGTGTGAAGATTCCGTTCTTCGTACTCTGAAGGTATTGCGGGGTCTTCTTGCAGAGCTCATGTCTGTTGTTCTTGTGGACGATGGGTGGACAGCAACGAGCCCCTCGGTACTCTGTGTGCCCGCACATCTTGAATGCCGTTCTGGTAAATATGCACATGGTGGTTACGATGCGCAAACTGAGGCGCAAACTTTGAGAATGGCTTGCTTGTGTTTGATGTGATGGGTTTGACGAGTTTGGTTGCAGTGTAAAGCCGGTTAGAGGTTATATAAATGTTTTGGTGTGCAATGCTCTGGTTGCGGTGTTGTGATGTCGAAGCAAGGTGGACGAACTTGAGGGTCCCAATGTTTTGATGCTCAAGTCCATCGCCTGTCGCTATCGAAGGTCATCGAACGCAGACGGTCTCCTGGCATGTCTTGCTGCCAGTTGTCGTTGCCATGTTGACGCCGGCTATCCGCCCAGGTTCTAAACAGTGATATTGTTCATCGCGGAGAGCAACAACAACACCGTAACGACGGCAACCATGTGTTTGCCATCATGGGATGGTCGACTGTCGCCTAGTGGTGACCGTCGACCTGGAGCGCCTTAGATATGTCGCATTGAGCTTCGAAACAGACTTGCCCCTCCTTCCTCCATTATCATCACAACTCATCACCGGAGTTCGGTCTCGCCAACGCAAGTCGACAGTGATATCCCACGACCGCACCTCTTGCAATCATCATCTTGATAGTTCCACCCTCCAGCAACTAGACCCGCGTACTCAAGCTGCGATCCGTTGTGCCCTGTGTCTCGTGCAACATGTGCTTCTACAGGACCAAGCTATACAAGGCCTGCGGGCATTCCGAGTTCCGGCGCTTCATGTGCAACCCGGTACCCATCAGTAACACCCGACACCAATCGGATCTTGATTTCGATGGCCTGGTACACATCAAGAACCACCTTGTCTGCGGCGAACCGCCGCAACATGTGAACGACCTCGAACTTGGTGTCTGCGGCCATTGCCGCAAAGCGAGGCACCCGGACAAAGGGGCGGGGCGGAGGAGCGCGATCCTCGAGAAAGAACGAACCCGTGTACAGCCAAGCATCCAGATCTTTGTGCCGGTAAGTGAAACAAATAAATCCCGGTCGATGTTCTCAGTTATTGACGGTGGATATTTAGGAGTCGGATGCCAACGAGGTGAAGCAGGGAGAGAAAAGCTTCCAGCAGCCAGTGATTCCGATCTTTTTGCCAGTAAGCTCAAGTACCGACAACTTAGCCGCCATTCTGGAGTTGCTAACGTTGGATGTTCAGGAGTCCGATGCCAAAGAGGCAGAGCTTGACGAGAAGTCCGAGAATGTTCAAGTACCTGCCGACGTCATCGAAGAGCGGCGTCTCTTCAAGCAGAGTGTCGTGGAGGCGGTCGAGGAATGTCGACAGCTTCGTGTAGAAATCGAAAAGGATCAGGCCAAGGCCAGATCTCTGCTCGACGCCATCGGAAGCCTGAGCGAATATCGCGCCATTCGCTGCAAGAGCGAACCTTCAGCCATCATCAGCAACACCGAGCATCCAACGAAGCCACGACTTGTCAACCAGGCGCCATCTCATGCTCAGCCAGAAAAGTCAGATTACCACGCCTTGTCGCATTCGGCGACCAAAGTCCGTCGCGGACTTTTTGAGGCCAAAGGGCGAGTCCGCTCCATGATCGACGCCTTCAATGGCAAGAACGAGGTCAGCCCAGTAATCCCACGTATTCACCACAAGCGCATGGTAACCTCCATCGCCAACACCATCAACCGGCAAAGCGATGCCCAGCATCCAGCAAAACCTCAGCCTCCCGTCGTTCCCAAGAAGACAGGCTTGACTTGCCGGCCCCTGCCGCTGCCTCCCTATCCAGACCCCTGGACTCTGTCCAAGCCGGCAAAGCTCCAGATCCTCTCGAGGCACCAATACCACAGACTGGTGCCCGTCCCAGAAGAGTCCGACTCGAAATCTCTGGTTCTCGCAAATTCCGTTACCAACACCGTCATCCTTCGCCGCGCAAAAGCCATCAAAGTGCGAAACCTCAACGCCTTTCACTGCCCGGTCAGGCAGCCGCGCTTCGGACTCAAGCGGAAAGTGTTGGCTCCACCTGTTCCCCGCCATTCGACGCCGCCAGTTGCTGTGCCGTGTTCAAAATTTGCGGATCTTGGCCGCCGTAGGGTCTCGGAACTGGAGTGGCGCTTCGTAATTTGATCAGCGGGTCTGTTGTAGCTTGCGGTCGCTCGTAGTCGCTCGGCGCATTTGTACTTCGAATGGATTCGGCGGTTTAAATCGTGATGGTCCGTGGAGGGTTCGCAAGGTCTAACATGATGATTCACGGTGCGCAAATGAAGCGCCGGCTTGGAAGGACGTGGACGGGCGATATGCGGGAAATGAGTGACGGATCGTGGGAACGAAGTCGTTTGGATCGGAGATCGCGTTGGTTGTGTCGTGCTTCGGGTCGAGCGCAATCGATTGTGGCAAGGTGGAACGGGTGCCTGGATTGAAAGGAGAAGGACGAGAAGCGCAGTGGGATGGGAAGGAGGAAAAATCTTGCAGAACGGCGGAGCTTCTGCGGCCGGCATTCGAGGATGGGATGATTACAATACGCTACGGGTATCGATAAGTACAGACGGGACACATTCGGCATGCATCCTGCATTACAGTACACATGGACGGGAGTTTAGGACGGAAGGGACCATCCAGCACTTGCTTCAACATTAACTTTTACTGATGAACCTGATGAGTGACCTATATATCGTGACACGGCTGTGAAATCCCCAGCAAAATACCGGTGACGACTTGCCCTCAGCCTACGTTCATACCGCTCTTTGAATCATGAAAAGAACTTTGGGTGTCTCTGCGTTGATATCGTCCCATCCCATCCAGCCCGTGAACGCCCCCCTCCTCACCGCATCCTTCATAGTTAAACCATACTAGCCAAACGCGCAGTGACAAGCCACAAACCTATTCCCACGCAGTCTCAAATCCGTCTTCAAACGCCCCAGCAGCAGGTTTGCCGGAGAGAAGTAGTTAAAAGGACACTCACCCCCGGTCAATCCCCTCTTCGTCAGTAGTCAAAACCTCTCAATCACTCACAATCCTTTCACAAGCACACCCGCTGATCAGAAACAAACTTAACCAAAGCAAGACCCATCAATTCCTCCAGAAAAGCAACAGTCAAGATGTCTCGTCAAGCCTACAGCGGCGCCTATAGCCCCTCTACCTTCCACGAACAGAAAGCCAAGCGCGACGCTTCCTCTTCATCATCCATCACCATTTCCATCACAACTTCTCACACCAGCACCAGCACCACCGTGTCTGGCGTCAACAACAGCAGCAACAACAGCAGCAGCACGAACTACGGAGGTGGCTCCGGTTTTGGCTCGGGCTCAGGTTCGGGAGCAGGTTCGGAAGGAGGTCCGGGAGGAGGAGATTCGGGAGCAGGGTACTATAACTCTTGCACCTCTACCAATTTTCACGATACGCCGCAAACGCTTCTCGAGTCCGGAGTGGGAATGGAGGCAATGAGGTGGCACGGGCAGTTTTCGCAGTTTTCTCGCTGATGATATGGGGGAGATCACTCTTCTTTGCAAACTCGGATGCTGTCACTGGGCTTGCGAAGGGATGAGAAGAATTTGAGGCAGAAGAAGAGGTTGCGGATGGGATATGGCGGTTACCTTATCTAAAAGTGTTTGCTCTCCCTACCTCTATGAAACACGTCCGTGATACAAACCACATCTTCACTTGACTCACAAGTGATAGTGACTCCTCCATCTCCATATGTATCGACAGCACGTGTATCGGTGAAGCTTAAAAGGACAGGTAATTTCCTTCCGCGAACGCCAGCGGCCCCGCCATTAATCGCTTTCAACACCTCCGTCCCCTCCGTAACCAGCATCACCCACCCACTCCCTCTTCGCTCCCCGTTCTCATTTGAGACACAGACAACAGACACTGTAAAATGGCACCCCCAAAAGCCTTCACCACCGCCACCGACCACGAGCAATACCTAGCCTCCGTCTCCCACCGTCGTAACCTCCACGCCTCTACCAACGGTACCAACGGTACCAACGGTACCAACGGTAACCCTCCCTCCTCATCCAACTCCAACGACCCCTTCACCCCCTCTACCAACGGCACCGGCACAGGCACCGGCATCCTAGTAACCACCACCACCACCACAACTACCCACAATGCTAACTCTCCTTTAACGCCAGTGATGAGTGGTGCCGTTATTACGGATCCTAGTCCCAGTCCGTTGAGTTTGGGACCACCAGGTCTGTCCATGTCGCAAGGGAGAGGGGGAGGGGGAGGTGGAGGGATGGTTAATGGGGTGAACGGGATAAATGGTAATGTGAGAGGTGGTAGAGCAAGAGGAGGAGGATACGTAGGATACGTAGGATATGTACCAGCTTCTGAAGGAGGAAGAGGCGGCTACCCAGTTTACCACCAGAGCGGGATCGGCCCCCCCGCGCCCCCACTAACTTATCACCACCCAAATGGTGCTGCTCGTGGTAGAGGACGAGGCGCTGCTGCATACAACGCATACCCAAACACTGGCTCGCCCAATGGTTCCCCCAACGGCCTCAACGGCCTCAACGGCGGCGGCGGTGGAAGAGGAGGAACAGGAGCACCACCATCCTACTCGATATACACACAGCGAGCCATGGCTGCTGCCGCTGCCGCAGGTCGCGGTAGAGGTAGAGGGGGACCAGGATCAGGACCAAGTTACAACGTAGCGCCCCCCGTCTCGGTAGGTTTGCCTGATAGTTACTGGACGAATGGTAATAGTGCCATGACTACGGGTGCAACTCCCAGTTCCAGTTCCAGTTCCAGTTCGAGTTCGGGTAGTGGTGCTGGGGTTGTAAATGGTGGTGGAACGAACGGAGCTGGAGCTGGAGCTGGAGCTGGAGCTGGACCGGTAACGAGAACAGAAGGGGGGCCAGTAGGAGGAGGTGTTTGAGAACATGGACATTTATAGAATCTTGAATAGCAGAATGGAGAATGATGAACTTCTTGGTACCTTTGCTGCTGCGGTAATGAACAGGCCCTCTCCTAGATCACTGCCTGAACCGACTGAACGAGTGACTGTGTGTATACCGGGCCAGTGTTCACCAGTACTGCCAAGGAAGCCTTTCTCGGCTGAAACGTAGTTCGCTCCTCATGCTCCGTTGCTCCGTGTACTCTGGCCCCTTTAATACATGCGGCATCACTATCTTCTTTGACCGCTCCAGTCATTCCTCTGGCATCGACGGATAAGGATACGACATTCGTTTATCTGCGAGTTTGTCCTCCCCAACCCCAAGCAATGGTCCTGAACCCAGAAGGTCAGGGTACCAGAACTCCCTTTGCTCCAGCTATCAGCGGGCCAACAGCCGTCAAGGACCGTAAGAGCTGCCCAATTCCTTATTCGGCTGATGTTGATTTTGAGGAAGACCGACAGGCATCGAGGTGCCTGAAAAGTTGGTTTCTCGATTTGCAGACTTGGTGGCACCTACGGCAGGTATGCTTGGAGGGCGAAGCTGGCAGTGGCAGCTTGGGCTTGGGAGGTTGTTCTCGAATGTAACTTCCCTTTTTCTTGTGCTTTGGCCTTTTTCGCTTTATGGGGATGCTGACGATGGGGTCGGATGAGGCAACCGGGTAGACCGAAAAGATCGTAAGAGACGTCGTAAGACTTGTGCTTCTGTACAAGTTGTCGACCACTCTCTTGGCAAAGTGATAGCCGGGGATCCAATCTTGGGCGTAGGTAAGCAGGTTGCCGAGTGTCGCGAGCACCCCTGATCCTTCGGTCTTGAGGACTTCTGTCGTGTCTGCCCCGTCCTGCAACTTGTTCTTCTTGTTCTTCTTTTTCTTCCTTTCTATCGTGGGATTGTTGTTTGCCGGCGGAAAGACATAGAGAAGGGGATCTTTGATTTGGCCCAAGCGCTGACCGCACGCGTGACAGGTCGGCGACATGTTCGTCGTTCGTTCGGTGGACGGTACGGTCGCGGCCATGGTGGCTGTTCGTTGACTAGGTTGCGTTGTTGGGATCTGAGTAATTTGAAGAAATTAGCAAACAATTGTCGCTCAGTCTAACTGGGAAGAAGTAGGCTCGAGACTGCTGAGAATGCTTTACTTGCCTTGTTTAAACTTGTTACTTGCCTTACCTTGTTCACTTGCATTGAACCGGTAATGGTCTGCAAGGGGAAAAAAAGAGGCCATGAAATATGCAAGTAAACAAGGCAAGCAATCTCCCTTACTTGCCTTGACTTGTATTAAATTTACCCTTAATTGACTTGCCTAAGGTTGTCAGACTCTTTGCTTGCCCTGCCTTGCTATTACTTGCCTTGTGTGCTACGCTGGTTGTTACAAGTCGAGGGATTGGGAAGTCGCGTGGTTCATGAGTTGGGAAGACGGGAAACCACCACAGAGTTGGTGATAGAGCTCGCTATTGCTGACATTGACCTGCGCGCTTCAGTTGCTTCAGTGTCTTGCTTTCCACACCCATATCCCCAATTGGATGCGAAGCAGGTGGTGGCATCGAGGGATTGCGCTTTCCAGTTGTTCGCGGCATGCAGTCCGAGTGGTGAGAACCTTGATGGCCCTGTTCATCCCGTTATTGTCTGGAGCGGAACAGAGGGGTTAGGGTTACCAGGTAGACATACTCTTTTCCAGTCGCCGATCCCTCTTGGCGCGACAGGGGCTGTCCAACATCGATCATGTCACCAATGTTTACATCGGTCTCTCTTTCGAGCCATTCTTGCCCAATTCAACGGCCATTGCAGCTCGACAGGAACATTTCCTCCTGGGACTTGAGCCCCACGTAAACGTCATACTGGTTTCCCATAGAAATTGGCCCATAAAACGTTCCCTTCCTCCAATTCTAGACGTCCCGATCCTCCATCAACACCAACAAAACAAACAACAACCCACCTATACATCCCACCACCTCTCCGCCGCCATGAAGATCGCCATCACCGGAGCCCGCGGCACCGTGGGCAAGGAAGTCGTCCGCCTCTGCGCCAACCAAGGCCACGCCACCGTACAAATCAACCGCACCCACCAAGACCCCGACACCTCCACGCCCAACACCGAGATGCGCACCGCCGACGCCGCCAACGACTACGACGCCATTCTCAAAGCCTTCAAGGGCTGCGACGCCGTCATCCACCTGGCCGCCATCCCCGACCCCGTCGACAAGGACGACCACCTGGTGCACAGCAACAACGTGTGCGCGGCCTTCAACGGGATGCGCGCCGCCGCGGAGCTGGGCATCAAGAAGTTCTGCTACGCTTCCTCGGTCAACGCCATCGGACTGGTTTACTCGAACCAGCCGTTGAGCTTTGATTACTTCCCCATTGACGAGGAGATTAATCAGGATCCGACGGACGCGTACGCCCTGGCTAAGCAGGAGGCGGAGACGCAGGCGAGGTCCATGGCGAGGTGGTTCCCGGGCATGAAGATTGCGTGCTTGAGGATTCATCAGGTGGCGCCCAAGAAGGATGTGGAGAAGGATTATCGGGAGAGCAACGAGAAGGCTGTCAAGCAGCTTTGGGGGTGGGTGCATCCGCAGGCGACGGCCAGGGCGTGTTTGGCGGCTGTGGAGAACTCGGATGAGTTTGAGGGGGCGGAGGTGTTTAATGTGGTTAGTCCCGAGAGGTGTGTGGTGGGTGAGGATGCCAAGTTGAGTAATGAGGAGCTGGTCAAGAAGTATTGGCCGGGTACCAAGATTAAGGGGGATATGTCGGGGAACAAGGGGTTCTGGAATGTGGAAAAGATTGAGCGGGTGTTGGGGTGGAAGCATGAGGAGAAGGAGTGACTGCACTCGGGGAGCAAATTGTGATGGTTGCTTGATGGCTAGCATGCGTTTATGAATAATGAGATATACGTTTCATGTCACTTAAATGATGGCACCAGTGATTCATGACGACAGTTCGTCTATATCTAGCAAGTCCCGGTTGGTCTTGTAAGTAAGGGATCAACTCTAGCTGGACTCTACTGCTTGGTTGTTTCGCGGCACAGAGGTAGACTTTCTCAAGCACTTCCATGGTGAGGATTCCAACACTTTCCAGACTCTCGCAACATGAAACCACAATCACATCTACTTGACACTACGCTCCCTCCCAATTCTCCAACTCGACGAACACTCGAAGCTCAGGACAAGGATCTATCAGCTTGAACCCCCAGTTACCTTTGAGAATCCCTCTCCCTATTGACATGGTATAGATCGTGCCTCTCGCTTGAAGTCCTGACTCCTGATACTCCTTGTCTTCACTCACCAACCCTCGATGACTGATGCCAGAGTAGGTCGGCCGCTCCAAGTTTTGTAACGCGGCTTTTAGAGCCGAGTATGAGATCTTTCGAGGGCCCGCCTCCATGTATGCCCCGTACAACCCATCTGGAGATGTCGTGCACATGCAACATGGACGTCCACCGTGACGCCGTCACATTGAACGACTATGCCTGACACAACAGATACATGTACACAAACTGCTAGGGGTTCCGAGTATTGTAACCTCCAGTCTAACTAGAGGGACATGGAGAGGATACGAGTATGGTGTAAATAGACGAGTACGTATGTTACGAGCTACGAGAAGAGAAGTCTTAATATCGAAATCAAGTATTTCTGTCTTTGGTCTCCTCGCTCTTCATCATTAACAATAACTAACCATTCTTCCGCTCATCACTCATCGTTCCTGCAGTAAGCAACCAAGCAACCAAACCCAACTCCACATCCGCATTGCCAAACAAAACTCTCCACCTCCTTCCAAGCCATTTCCCAACGATAGAGACCCTGAAACTTCTCGAGAATCACAATGAAGGCCGCCCTCGCAGCTATCTTTCTTGCCACCCTCATCAGCTCCGCCGTCTCCGCCCCGACTGGAACTCCGACTCCGGCTCCGGCTGAGGCTAGCAAGCCCACCTCCGAAGAGATCAAGGACCCAATCCCCTGGGACCTGAATGATCCACTTCAACATCGATGGTGGCGGTCTCGCCGTTCAACCTCCCCGGAGTCCCAAAGATCCGGATATGGGCCAAAAGCGGGGGTAGCAACTCCCCGCGATGTTGAGGAAGAGTATTATACCTTCCTTCATCTTCCTCCCAAGTAAACCGGTACGTCTTTTCCTCTTCCTCTTCCTCCTTCCTCTTTCCCATTCTGTTTTGACCACTTCTCACCGCTTTGCCTCTCCCCCGTCCGTCTTGCCTGATTCGACGCACGGCTCGATGGGACGATGGGATAGCCGAAAACTAAGCAGAACAAGACCAACCGAACATGAACGTTTTGCTCACCGTGCTGGCACTAACTAAGCCGATTCACCTCAGATCCTCAGCCGCTCAGCTCAGCAACATGTGATTATTGCTTAGTTGGGAGCAGATATAAGAAAACCAGGGTAGGCGTTGCAGGCGATAGAGACGGTGGTGATGTGGTGGATGTTACTGGGCAAAGCATGGATATCGAGGATGGAAAAGTATCCGAGGACATTGTTAACCTTCGTTTAGCACCTTGGTAGTTTAGTTAGTGTTCTGTTGTGTCCATCTTTCGTAAGATCAGGTAGTTTCGTGGAATGCCCCGGGGTCATAACTACATTGAACCTTGGGAGGTGTTTAACGCGATAACTATAGGTACAGGTAGGGGGAAGCCTGGTATTTAACCGGATGATAATAATCAGAGGATATTCATTTATATTTTCCGATGCTTTCTCGTGGAAGTGTTTTCTTCTTACAACTAAACTCCTTGTTCGTCTTTCAAAGGTCTTCACTGCCCGAAATGTTCCCGTCGTGTAATGTCTCGAAAGCATTTCTCAATATAAGCTCTTCTCCCCACTTCCTAGGACGAGGGGAGTCAAAATGAAAGACAGTCAGTCCGATTCGAATACAAAAAACAAAAAGGAGGAAAGCCAAAAAAAAAAAAAGACACAAAAAGAGAATTTTTGAATCCTCCCTCGGTAAGGATCGAACTTACAGCCTCCAGATTAACAGTCTGACGCGCTAGCCAATTGCGCCACGAGGGAATGGTTTCCTATTTCGGTTTGGTTTGGTTGATATCTGTGCGCTGTTGGTGGGTTTATCAAGCCTTTTACAAGATCCACCAGAGTTGTGCCAGGGAGGTATCGTCAACCCGAAAGCGAAAGCTATTGGTTGTTGGAAAAGTTTAGAGTGTGGCAGGAAAAAGGGTTGATACTACCTACCTATCTGATTGCTCTTTTTGCGTTGTTTCTTTGTTGTTGCGGGTTGTTCCTTTGCTTGTTGGACTGCGCCGCTATGCCAAACAATCAATGATTGACGCGTCCTTCCACACCAGGGTCTCAACAGTTGTCCTTCAGTTATCACGCGTCTTTTTTTTGGCATCAATATGTAAAAACGATAAATGAATGGACCTTCTACGGTGCGACACGCCCTTTCGCTTTTGGTGAGTAGAGTGATGATACAAATTAACCATGAAGAGTAACCCAGAGAGTAGACGAGACGCGACGCGATCCAACGAGAAAGTGATGAGAAGCGATACGAGCATTGTATTGTTCCCCCTTTCCTCCGCAAGATGAAGGGTAACTGGGATAACAATGGAAGTGATTGAACGAAAAAGCTGATGGTTGATTGATAGATGATAGAATTTCCATGATATTGGTTTGTTTCCTGCGCCAACGCCAGCCAACGCCGGAGATCTTTGGTTTCTCTTCGGCCAAGCAAGCAAAACAACTCTCTCGTGTGTGTTGTGTGTGATATAAACCAAACCTCCAGTTTTCGTCCTTGCCCATGTCCATGCTGCTCTTTTCGTCCTCCTCCCCTCACACGTCCTCCTACGCGTCGTCGTCCTCCCACTACATGATGTCCTCCACCATTCAACGGCTGATGATGATGATGATATCGATAGTAGATTACTCCATACTGATGGATGTAACAATACGCGTCGTCGTCGCCATTTAAGCCTGGCTGCTGTGCCTGGGGCGCTTGCGAGCGCTGCCGGTACCGGGGTGCATCTTCTCGTTGCGCTCGCGCTTGAGCTTCTCGTCGAGGACGCGGGCTGTGATAATTTTTCTTGATTAGCAGTGCGTTCATCCCACCCAAACCAACAACATCCACCAGCAGACAACACATACTAAGCACATCGTAACCGAACTGGGGGAACTCCAAGCACAAGTTCCTGAACTCGTCCTCGGCCTCGGCGCGGAGGGTGTGGGACCTGGTAGCCCAGAAGTTGGCGACGGGGGCGCGGATGGTGGTGTCGTCCTTGGAGGTGAACTCGTAAACATAACGAGCGTAGGCGATCTCGCCCTTGGCGGTCGAGTTGACGCAGTGGATCTTGGACGAGGCCAGGTTCTTGAGGTTGGTGAGGCCGAACTTCTCGGCAATGGTGTACACGCGCGCGTGCTTGAGGAGCTGCTCGCCCGTGAGGTCGACCTCGGGGATGGACGGGTCCTTCTCCAGCGAGCGCTGGCCGGGCACCTTCTTGGGGAAGTAGTCGCCCGTGTAGAGGAACTCGAGGAAGCAGCCCATGGCGTCGATGTCGTCGTTAGGGAGCTCGATCTGGCGGGGCTGTTTGCAGTTGTCAGTTAGCTTTCTGTTGGACTTGGATCATAAGAGGGACAGAAAAACGTACGCTGCCATCATCGGTGAAGTCGGCGCAGGCCTCGGCGAACCAGGGGCTCTGGACGAGGAGGGACTGATGGGCAGTAAGGATGGTCTCCTGGTCTCCGGTGCCGACGATCAAAGTAACGATAGGGCTCGAAAGGTACTGCAGGAAGGTGACGCGAGGAGGAGGGGGCGAGTCGGCGGACTCCTCAGCAAAGGGGAGCTCGTCCTTGTTGGCGGGCGCGTCGCCGTCCTCGGCAGCGGCAGTCTCAGCACCACCCTCGGTCATCTCGACATCGCCAGAGGGAGCGGCGGGAGAGTCCTCGATGATCTCTTCGTTGAAGCTCTCAGACATAGTGGGCTAACGATAAGGGTAGTCAGCGATGTTAAATCTAAGAGAGGGTGGTGAGGAAGATGTCAGTTGGACTGCGGTTGACCTTGCGCGCGTCGAGGTATGTGTGTGTGGATTTTGTTACCAGGAGCTGCGGCGGCGCGCTGCACACTAGCAATAACAATGGTAAATAATACGTACTGGGGGTAGCACTGCTGCGTATCAGAACTTACGATGAAATGGGAATAAAAGCACTTCGTTGTGGGGAAAAAAGAGATGTTGGACAGATGGCAGAGACACGAGAGACAGCTAGTAAAATTGGGTGGTTGGACCGCGCGGTTCGTGTCGCCTCGCGGAGCAGCTGCACGGGGCTTTCCAAGCTTGTAATTGGTCACAAAGAAACGTTACGCGATCAGTACCGTACCATTTTCGTACAACGGCAGCACTTGAAAAGTCGAGGGCACTCAGCAAAGAAGAACCCTGAAAACGAGACGACGAAAAGATACTAGTATAACGGTTGCGGGAGCTCGAGCTGAGCTTGATAGAGCTTCGATTGGGATGAGACAGTCTCAGTTCCATCCGCAAACGTCGATGCTCCAGCTGTTTTCGAAAGTTTCAGACTACGAGAACGGTGGGAATGTGCAGATTGGTCTGTGCGCTGACATCGCTCCGGAAAGGTGCTCTGAAGATGCTCGTTGGAAAAGACACCGGCGACAACATATTCATGGCCATGATATGACATTCCGTGTCTGAACACAGCTCAATTGACGCCTACGCTAATATGCTGTTACCCATATACCTAATTCATCGCACTACGATTAACACCAGCGCTGGCTTTCATCCGTCGACTGCAACCACATTGTCCATCGCAGCCAAAAACCATTACTCGTCTTTCATATTTCCATGCTCGCCCTTCATATCCTCATTGGCATCAAAAGTCCAGCTCACAATCAGCAAGCTTGGCACTGACCCTCCTCGCCCTTCCAGTCCTCCTCAATCCCAACGCAGCCGCCTCGGCCGCCTCATCCTTCTTAGTCACAATCACAGGCGTCGGCACCGTGCTCCTGACCTGGACCTTGACCTTCTTGCGGACGGCAAACCGCTCCTGGACGTAGCCATGACCAACACCCGTCTCCTTCTTCACTGGTTGCTCTTTCTTTTCCCCACTAGGAGTTCCCTTCTTTTCTGTAGGGGGCGCTGAAGAGCGCTGCTTGCCTTTGCTTCCCATCCTCTCTCTCCAATACACCCTTCCACGTGCTCTCGCCTCCTCCTCAGCAGTAAGGAACCGATTGATCATTCTATGATCGAGGATGCGCTCCTCCTTGTCGTTCGGGCCAAGTTTCTCCGTTTTGGGCCACATATAGCCGTACAGCTTGGAGTGTCGCTCGCACCGGGGGCAAGTGGACTTGGTCAGGTAGGCGTTCTTTTGGACGAATGCCGAGGCGCAATGGGTGCACATGATCCAGGCCGTTTCGGGCTCCGAGAGCAGGAGGGGCGTGAGGGTGTAGTCGCGAGGAACGCGGCCACGGGGGGCTGCTGGTACTGGAATGAGGTGTTGTGGGAAAGCGGTGGTTTGCGCCTTGGGCTTCGAGGGGGTGTATGATTTTGTTGTAGTCTGAACTTGTGTGATTTTCTCGACTTGGCCAACAATAGCTTTGACTGGGCTCTCGGTCTTGATGACCGGAGCCTCCTTTTGGACTGGAGCTTCTACAACCTCCATCGTGGACGTTTGAGCGACGCTGATCGCAGTGACCTGCTCTGTTTTCTGAACCTGCTGAGTCTGAGGCTTCGGCCTATGCGTTGTCACCTCTGCTACCGAGACAACAATAGGCGGAGCAGGACTCGAGGGGCCTGAAATGAGGTTGGCTATGCTCATCCTATCTCGCGCAGCCAAACGCTCAAATGTGGGGCGCACCACCGGCGGCTCTTCCTCTGTTGGTTGGCTAGACGGCGGAGTGAAAGCTTCTGGGACCTGCTGAACGGCAACCTCGTTGACGCCCTCCTCCTGCTTCAACAGACCTATCGCCTGCTTAATAGGAGTCGGTTCTGGTGAGAGAATGATAGGTCCCGGGCTTTCACTGCCCTGAGACGTGGCGTCCGTAACGTTATCATTAGTCGTGCTAAACGAAAGAGGGCTCCGGCTGGTTTCGTTATCCGAACTTCCTCTGGAAGGCGCTGTCGAAAGAGCAATCGGGACAACCGGGTACTGCGTGGTTCTTTGCTTTTTGGTAGGCGTGAAGGGGGGCGTACCCATTTCCAACGCCCGCTTGCGGCTCTGACCATCTGCTCCTTGTCCCTGAGCACCGGAATCCGTCGTCGACGTCCTCTCACCCAACATCATTTGGCTCTGTGACTTGCGCATAACGCGCGGACGCATGTCGGGCGTAACTGAAGGAGTGCGCGAAGCCTGAAGAGCGCTACTTCCATATCGCCTCTTCCTCCGGAACGAATAAGGTGTTGATGAATCGGTCGGCTGCTCGTCCTCGATACTCTCCTGGACCACCGCTTCCCCGTCCACTGGCCTCCAGCCGTTCCTCAAGTTGCTCTCGCATGTCGCACACAAGCAATCGCAGTTGTTTTCGCCGAAGTAACTCTCGCTGTACGTAACAGTAATCTCCTCGCCCACCTCGATGTTCCTGCACGCAATGATCTCAATGCCTGCCTGCCCTCTGGTAATGAGCCTAGCATTCGCATTGCAGTCATGGTTGGCAAACCGCGCGGGACCCATGAACAAGCTGGTGGACTTGCTCCTGCTGCTCACAATCAGACTAAAGTCCTTCTTGCGCAACGACATGTCCAATTCCTCCTCTGGCGTGATCACCACCTGAATGCCAGCCAGATACTTGATTGTCTCATTGCGCTTGATGAAGCGGCGGGCCGTGATGCTGGCCTCGTACGTAACAATTGTGTAGCGGTTTGTCGCGTTGACCTCAAAGGGGCAGTCGGGGAGGTAGATGGACATGTATCGGCGTAGGTGCGCTTTGAAGTCATTTTGTTCTCGGGGTGTCTTGAGCGTGTTGCAGAACCTTTTGAGTCCGTCGGTCGCAAGCAGTTTCTCTTGGGCGGTCGCAATGTCGGGATCGACGATTAGGTGGTTCTGGAGGATTTTCGTGATCTCCTCCTCCTTGATGCCCCTAGATGGGTGGTAGGATGTGCGGTTCTTGGGGATGGTGGTCCAGTAGTACGCCTGCATGGGGGAGACAGGTTAGCGATCAATTGTCCTGACGAGTACCGGAAGTCCGACCACAAACACCGAGGGACAACAATACTCACATGATCAACGAGCGCATCCGTCAAGATATCATCGTAAGCAGCCAGCTGAGCGAGCGTCAACTGGTTCTTCTTCTTCCCACCAGTACCCTGGGGTTTCGTCATGGTGCAAGGTCGGCCACCGACTGTTGCGACAAGAACAAAATCGGGTAGAACTGAATGATGAAGTCGTTGTTATAAGTCCTCGATTCCTTGGTTGATTGGTCTGGTGTTGGTCGACTGAGGGGAAAGGAAAGGTTCCAGGTCCACCTCTGCAAACAGAAAGAGCGGATGCGATATGCGCCAAAGTGGTCAGATCGGATATCGAGAGTCGGTGGATCGGAGAAGGAACGGACAAAGGCGCACTCTCGTTTCCGTCAGCAATTGAGAGGCTGATCCCAAAGCGAACTTACGCACTCTCTCTGAAGCAATTGCAACCAATGCGACTCGACAGTGGCTGACAATGACAGGCGCAGTTAAGTGATGGTGGTGGTGGTGGTAGTGTTGGTGGTGACAGCCAAGGGTAAGAGAGTATTGGAATTAAAGCTGAAGCTGCAGCTTTGATCGAAAGGGACAGACTTGTTGGTGATTGACGGGAGGACAAGAACGGGAGGACAAGGACGTGGTCGCAAATGAGGTTGCAAAGAAGGGCGGCGGCCGAAACCTTGGGGAAGCTGAAGACCTGGGGATGGATGGGGGAGAAGTCGGGGTCAAGGTTGGGTGTGAGGGTCCTTTTGGTCCTAGGAGTTGGTGGTTGGTCAGCCGTCATATGTATTCTTGTGTTTGTATGGATTCGGCCGAGCTGTGCGAGAGTGTGAGAGTGAGAGTGCGAGAGAAGTGCAAGGTCTTGTTCTTGGCTGCAGGGATGAGGCAATCGCCTTGTTTGTGCTGAAGCTGTGACAGGTGAAGCAGAGGTGAGGTGAGGACAAGTTGATAAAGATAAACTGCTCAGTCGATGGAGAGATGATATGTAGTCACAAAAGGGGAGAAACAAAACAAAAGGGGCCCATTATTGGGTCGCAAATCTTCCACTCTTCTCCTCTTTTCACGATCCCACCTGTTGCCGTGGTAGCGGTGGTCTAGGCAAATTCCATTCCCACAATTGGAGAGACAGCTGACGAGGGAGCGGGGAGAGACTGGCTGGAGCTCTGTTGCGCTGAGGTTGTCATTGGTGGTTGGAATCAGGGCTGAATCCATCGTCTGGAATATCTCTTAACCAGATGGGGAAGCAATGGACTTGACCGCCTACGTTCATCTTCAATGATCTTTCAGAGGCAGAGATATCTCGTTGTGTAATACTAGTTTTTCATGGATTTTGGATGGATATTTGATGGCCAGTTGCTGTAGTCTCGTCCGGTTGAGCCGGAGAGCACCTCGAGTTGTGAAGACTCCCGATGTTTGGAAGTTGGACAAGTGAGTGGCACATGAGCTGACTCTCTGCACATCTCCACAAAGTCAACACAAAGTCATCATTTCCGTAGTAAATCCAGACGATTCTACACCTCAATGTCTAAAATATAATAAGTCGTCGTAAAGTCTCTTCACCCTCTTAGGTTTCAAGTTCTTTTAGCATCAGCTCTGGTGGTTGAGTCTTCACATGCTCTGTTGGCTCATACTCCCAGAGACTCAGAGCTTCAAAGTACTTCCCCAAAGCGTTAGTCTCCTCCAAAAAATCCAACCCAAGCAGCTAAAGAGCATGCATGAGACCCCTCCCGATTGGCTCCGCACTTCCGATTTTCTGTCTCTTTCGCTGCAGCGCCGGCACAGCTCCAAGTTTTGGCGCGTCTCCAGAGCGCGCGCGTTGCTTACCTAATCTTAGACAGGTACGTACCTTTGAGTCCCGCAAACAATTTTCCAAGTTGCGGCACGCGCACGGCCCACACGGGGACGACGACAAGCCGGCCGGACGCGGCGCAACTGGAGTTCTGGAGTTCTGGAGTCCGGAGATCGATCGATAGTAGCCTTCCCCGTCCGCGATCCCCATTCAGTTGCCGGGTTTCGGTCTCTCTCTCTCGAGTCTTGACTGCAATTACTCAACGGAGTTAGAGGTTGCCCAAGATGATTCAACTAAAGGTATTTTCCCTTGTGTGGTTCTGTTAGGAGTTGTTGCTAACCATGGACTCCGTGACCTAAACAGACGATGCTCAACTGCATCGACAACTCGGGTGCTGCCCTTGTGGAATGCGCCATGGTTGTCGGCCAGAAGAGGCATGCTTCTATTGGTATGCGCTTTCGAACATATTCCCTCACATACGAACAAGCCTATTATCGACGTCGAGCGTAACTGCACGAGCTGCACCGATCCCTCTCTCTCTTCGACCGGCTCGCAAAACATCCCACCTCGCCGTCCTCCGTTCCTCGTCCTCGTTCCCTTTAGCCTTTGGGGCCCGAAGATACCTCTGGCACCATGCACCCATTATACCCAAATACTCCGAGCCCCGACGAGTGTCGACCCCTTTCTACATACATGCCCAACACCTACAACACATCTTCCCCGTCTCTCGCTCAGTCCCTCCCCGTCCACCCCAACCTACCCAGCCTCCCCTTCTCCCCGGCCTCTCTCCTCCCAGATCCACAAACTAACACCCACCCCCCACCCAGGCGACCGCATAGTAGTAGTAGTCCAAAAACAGCGCGGCGCCGACAGCGCCGGCATGGCCGCCTCCTCCGCCGCCACCAAAGTCAAGCGCGGCGACATCCGACACGCGGTCGTGGTGCGGACCAAGCAAAAAGTTTCGCGGCGCGACGGGTCCGTGGTCCGCTTCGACGACAACGCCTGCGTGCTGATCAACAAGGCGGGGGACCCGATCGGGTCGCGCATCAACGGGGTTGTCGGGCAGGAGTTGAGGAAGAAGAAGTGGAGCAAGATTTTGAGTATGGCGCCTATGCAGGCTTAGATTCCCGGGCACAATGGGCATGGGGGTGGGGGTAGGATGTACGATGGGATGAGCAAAATAGAGATATACCCATGAGCAAGCAGACCTGAGGCATTCCGTGGTTTTAATCCTTTATTGCGGAGGTTGTGTGTGGTTGCTCGGTGCTTGGCGGTGGTGACGACTGACGAGGAGAGCTACGGCATATTGTGTTGGAAAGTGTTTCACATGGAGCTGTGTGTGGTCTGTGTCTACGAGCTGCTATACTAGGCCCAGGATGGTGTGGTCTATCCGGGACTGAGGCTACGATACCGTTGGTTCCTGAGACGAGAGACGGCCTTTACAGAACAGCATCACATCACATCACGAATGGCCTTATCGACGGCGTCTTTTAGGGTCATTTCGGGCAACGGTCACCTAGCAGCATCAGTCAAACACAAGCAAGCAGCCAAACGTCACGCCAGTGAATTGAGTCTACGGCTCGCTTCAGTTCGAGGATATATTATTCAAATGGGGCCTTCTGAACTGTGTATACTATTGTACTGTACATGTTAAGTCAAACAAAATGAATCACCCAGTCCACATCATAAGATAGTTGTATCCGTGTCTTTTAACCTTATCCACGAGATTTGTTGAGAAGACCATCTAAGCTAGTGTCCTGCCAAAGCATGTAAAAAAGAAAACCGAACGCCTTGAACCTCGGCCCTTTCAACCGTGTACAAACGCCGCCATAATGCAAATCTTCATGACCCCTTATCTCTGATATTAACCTGTTTTCCCTACCGCCTGTCCACCCATGATAAGGATCGACTGGCCCTATTGCTCCTGCGTGAATCCCCCTACTGGTAAATATTACCACAATCGCAGCAGACGTAAAACAATTTCTGAAATTAACGTTGTTAACCCATGACTCTGATGAGACCACCTGGGAGGAGAGGTGAGTCTTACCATTCCGGTTTCCGAAGTACGCTGCTGTGACTGGAAAAAGACGGCTTCCGGGTGGTGGCAGGCAGGGCATTCTTTGATGGCTCTTGGGAGCTAGATAGCAAACGAAGAAGAAAAGAAGAGGTTAGTCTCGATGCAAGCCAAAGCAAATGACAAGAGAAAGCCAAGTCCAGGCTATCGCCTCTCGACCAGACCCCACCACCAGACGGACGGAGACTTTTGGGTATGTGCTATGCTGTGCTGTGCTGTGCTGTGCTGTGCTGTGTGCCAGTCGTGTTGGGTGCTGTGGTTCCCGGAGGCGGATGAACCGAGCCGCGATGATTATACATGTATTATAATGCTGTTGAAATGGGTATGCCGTAACCGTAATCGCTGTGACCATAAATCAAAAAGTCGTAAAGTCGTGAGAGCGGAAGATGCGTCTGTCGGTCGTTTCCTAAGCTGCCGAGACTTGAGCAGGCAGATGGGTCGATGCCGTCATCTCCATGTCGGTGTCGTCAAGCTCCATGTTGTCGAACTCGATGGAGCCCTCCTCTTCTTCGTAATCCTCAAAGGCGACTAGGTTGTAAAAGTACTCTTCGGCACGGAGCCTGCCCATGGCCTCCTTTTCGTTGTTGTTGTTGTTGGAAGCCCAAACATGGCTGTTGTCGATCATGTCGATAGTGGTAGCCGCCATCTGGTCGTACAGGGACTCGCAATCGCTGGAGTCGGAGGGAGGGGCGGCGAAGTGGTTGGAACACAGCTCGATGACGCCACAGCACTGGCAGTAGATGTAGGTCGGTCCGTCCGCCGGTCGGGGCAAGTCGGTCGACGAAGACGAGCCGGCACCATCACCAACAGCAGAAGAAACAGAAGAGACAACACCCACCGTGGGATCAGAGGCGACATCTTGCGTGACACCAGCCGTCTCGCCGGCAGCGTTGTTCAGAATGTTGCGGTAGATGCACGACGACGTGGCGGGCTCGGAAAAGTTGCAGGTGCGGCAGGTGAAGAGCAGCTTGTTCTCGTCTTCGGCCTCGCGGGGGTACAACATGTTGCTGCATTCGGAGCAAAAGCGGAACGTGATCTGCTCGAGGGGCTTCTTCTCCCTGGCGCCACCGGTGCTAGAAGGGGCGGGCGACGACATTTTGGTCGATGTGTGTTGTGGTTGGGTGTGTGTTGTGTGTGATGTGAAAGTTGAAAGGTGTTTTGTGGAAAGGCGGGACGAAGCGAGGATGTTTTGCTCGTTCGTTGTGGGTGCTGGTTGTTGTTGGGTGAATGGCTCGTTGAAAAGTAATTGATTGATTGACGATCTCGAGGATTGCCCTGGCTTGGTTCGCTTGGGTGGCGGAAGGATGCAAAAACTGCTAATCAAGTTGAAGTTGCAAGTAAGCTAGTAACAGCAATTGGATACTTCTCAGCAGTCCAGGTGATTGGTAAAAAGGGAAGAAGTTCGTCCGCGGGAGACTGAGTGTTGCAAGATGGTTTAAAAAAGCCGAAGGATGGAAAATGAAGAAAGCAGGTGAAGGCCCAGGAAGACCAAGAAAGGCGTGAGGCACGATGGGCACTGCAGTCACGTTTGGGGATCCAAGCGTGCCAACTGCCTGCCCACTGCAATTGCCCTGCAGTTGCCGGCCGGAACAGCGCTGGAGTGTCGCAGGGATGTCCGCCACTGTCAAACCCTCACCGCCTTACCGCTTTGGGTGAGGTCAGGGCAGAACACTGCAACGAACAGCCCAGTCAGACCGAAGGAAGTTGTGCTTGCAGTTATTTTGAGCTTTGTAAAGCCTCCATGTCCGGTTTTGCATGAGCCATTGTTCTTCAGGTTCGTTTCTCCGACGGAGACTCGATATCAAACAGCCTCAAATTCAAACTTGTAGTTCAATTAATTCACTGGAACGCCATGTGTGCATGAGCGAACGCACGATTCGGTCTTGACGGGCCATATCTTTGCGCTCCCGAGGACAACAGTGACCGATACACCATCACAGCGCCGCGGCATCAGGGGCTTTTACACAATTGACTCTGGAATCCACAACGACGTCATTGGGTTGACCACGTGCACTTGTCAAAATCATGAGGGTTTAAGTGCAGAGGGCTATTCGGAACCTTAATTATGAGATCTTTCTTTCCATCAAAATCATGGTTCAACTTTCAAAAGACATCCATCTCGATGTTCCAAACACTCTCCTTCCTCCCGCCCACCCGTGACCCAAACATTCAAGGCACAACAAATCAGTGTGGCACCCACTTTATGCATGGAAAATCACGAGGCCCCAAGGGACTGTTGCGTGGGGTGTCCCGATGCAGCAACTGACGACGGATCGAGAAAGTGTGGATGGCTCAAAAACACAGCTGAGATAATGTCTTTGGAGCTTGAAGTCGCAATGTCTTTGTTCGTGAGCTGTGACCTTTTCGGTGAAAACAAAGGACAAAAAGCTAGGATTAGTTGTTAGTGCATCTTGTAGCAAGAATACCTCTTCCTCAAACTTTCTCCTCAACGATGACCGCAATGCCAAGTGGAAAGATGAAGCCATCAAGGTGACATGAATAAGCAGCCTCAAGCTGACCAAGCAACCTCATCCGACTCGGAGGAGTGGCACATGAGGACATCTCGACAAGGACACACCATCACACTAACAAAATGGTGCCCCTGACAGCTCCCCGCGAATCCCCAATCGCGGAAGAGAAGGCGGGCGGTACCTTGACCCCGCTCCCAGTCCCCGCCCCCCGGCCGCCCCAGAGAAGTCCCCGCTTTTTGTGCCTTGTGAGATGTGGACCCGCCGCGGTTTGGACTGACGTCCCTGACGAAGAGCTCCATTGCCTCGAGTCTTGGCCAGAGTGCTGGATGTTTCTCTGTTCCTTCCCCTAAAAAGTTGCATTCTCCCACTGCCCAATTCTTTCTTCATATCTCAAATTTTCTGTCGCATTTCGATTTTCACTATTGAAGCTCTATTTGCGCAAGTCAAGGTACGTCGCGATACCCGTCGCTGCTTGATTCATTCGAGTCGCAATCGCAAAGCGCACCTCATCTTCCCCCCTTCAACCTCTCTCCTCCTCAACTTCCACGCGACAAGGCTACCCACCTACTCAGCGACCAACTTACTGACAGAAACCGCATCCTCCTCTTTCAGAACCGACTCACCAACCGATTTCTAACCTCACCACCACCAAAACCGTCAAGATGTCCAACGCAAGTCAACCCACCACTGGCGATGCCAAGAACCACCCAACTAACCCCCGTCCTCCCTTCCAGACCATCGAAACCGGTCTCCCCGAAGACTGGGAAGTCCGCCACTCGCAATCCAAGAACCTGCCCTACTACTTCAACAACGCGACCAAGACCTCTCGCTGGGAGCCCCCCTCCGGAACCGACGTCGACAAGCTCAAGATCTACATGGCCAAGTACCACAGTCAGCAGCAGCAGCAAGGCGGTGCGCAAGCTGGTGGTGGACAACAACAGCAGGGAAAGATTAGGTGTGCGCATTTGCTGGTTAAGCATAGCCAGAGCAGGAGGCCGAGTTCTTGGCGCGAGGTGAGTCTCTCGTTGCTCCCCTCACCCTCCCATGTTTCGTTAGCCTAGGTGTTGCTGTTGCCTCCGGCGGCCCCTCCGGGGAGGCTCCTGCGGAGGGCTGCTCGCTGCGCTCGGTTTAATACTAATAACATGTCAAAACAGTCCGAAATAACTCGCACCAAACAAGAAGCCCTCAGCACCCTGCAGGGTTTCGAACAGCGCATCAAGTCCGGCTCCATTTCCCTGGGCGAGCTGGCCCTGACCGAGTCCGACTGCTCGTCCGCCCGGAAGCGGGGCGACCTCGGCTACTTCGGGCGCGGCGACATGCAGAAGGAGTTTGAGGATGCCGCGTTCGCTCTCAAGCCCGGCGAGATCTCCGGGATCGTGGACACGGCTAGTGGGTTGCATTTGATTGAACGGTTAGTTTTTCCCCAAATCTTTCCTCACAGAAAAAGGAGGAGGAGAAGAAGAAGAAGAAGGGGTGGTTGGTTCGGGTTGGGGGTTTGGGCACGGAGATATGTGCTGCTTGGGGTCCTCCTGGTTGGGGTGGTTCGATGGTGGGCGAGGGCTACTTAGGGGATGAGGCCGAGACTGCTCTGGGGAGTCGAGTCGACCGGACCGACCAAGAACGAACGAACAAATTGCTGACAACAACACGGGGACGGTACAGGCTCGAGTAGGATTCCGATACGACACGACAACAAATAATGACCACTGCCACTGGATGGAAGGGAATGGGCACCGAAAGCGTGTGGATGACAGTGTAGGAAAGAAGACGATTAGGTATTTTGCTTCTAGCGCGGCGCTTGCGAAGGTACTTACGAAGAGGGAAAATCGAGAGATGAGAGAGAGAGGCAGTATTGGAAGCCGAACTTATATCGAACCCAGACGATGGCGCGAAGACGGAAGGTTTTTGCTGCGGCGGTCGCCAGACTATCAAGTCGGATTATGGTCCGCAGTACGGCGGGAGCCAGGAAGTATCCGAGTAGTACTTTTGGCCAAGTGTGAACGGGAAAACAGCCGGATAGGATAGGAAAAAGCAGACAAAACAAAACATTTCACAGCTGAGACAAGACAGTCCAACCGGCTTTTGCAGAACGAAACAAGTGCAAATTTCGAGGTTGCGTGATCCCTAGGTATTTTTGACTGGAGGCGGTGATCTCTTTCATGTTCCATGCCTGGCTGGATTTTGACAAGCAGCAGACACCCGGACAGGAAAAGAAGAAGACCAAGAAATCAAGAGTTCATGATCGAGAAGAACCAACAACAGCCAAAATGCAGTAGTGACCGACCGTGAAAGTGACAATGAACAATGGTGAAGAGTGAGTGTGTGTTCCATAAATGATGCCCATTTAATTATGTACTACGGTTATTTCTACTCTAATAAGCCGAAATATTTTCTCTTCTTCAAGAAGATTGAGGGAAACTGCCAATGAGCGAGCCCCAGGTAGTCAATGGTGTGCTGTTACCCTCACAACGCCAGACTGCGTGCGCACCAGATTTTGTCGCCTGACCCCCCCAAAGGAACCAAGTATGATACTGAGATAAAACCCAAAACGAGAAACCGCGGGAGTCATAGCTCGACCGCTAAAGGATTCTAAGAAATGGGGTATATGATATGATGATATAAACCGCAACGCACACCAGAGCAAACTGAAAACCCTGTAAACCGTACGTACCGAACCGCCCAGGAAAACCGTGGCCGAAGCCAGTGAACCGTGCCGTACCGATCGACCGAAGGAAAAAGAAGCGAACCAAACAAACGCCGTTCTGTCCCCGAGTAAAGAGAAAATTCGATCCGACCATACTCGTCGTTATCGTGAGCATCAAGCATGATTCATAACCATGACTTCGTTCCTTGTCGTTCCGTTTCGCTTCTTCCTGTTCCGTTGTCCGTTGTCCATATGTTCTTCTTGGCTTGTGCCCGATGATCTTTTGTGCAGTCCTCAACCTAGCCAATGCTGCTGGCTGCTTTTTCTGTCATGTCCCTTTTCTGTCTTTTTGCCGCTGGCCTTTTGAGTTCCTGTCCGTTTTCGTGGTGGTGACTGTCCTGTTAAACCAGTGCTTCCACCCCGTTTCATGCTCTTGCTCCCATGCGAAACATGCAAAGTAGGTTTTAGGTATGTACAGCAAGGAAAAAAATGGAGAGAAATGTGCAGGAAGATGAAGATGAAGAGCCGCTCAACTGTCTCAAACAGGAGCTGGTGGTGTATGTAGAGTATTTGAGGTATATCGATGGAATTCTGTTATTCTTCCTTTTCTGTGTAGGTTGTCGTAATTTTTGATGGTAATTTTCGTAGGATCATGTCCATAGGTATCGTTTAGGTATCGTCGGCAAAATCTGTCGGATGGAGTGTATCAACCCTGCATCTGACCACCAACACCTGCTACCACCCACTCCGCCAACGGCTTGATACTGGCAAAGCCCACGGTCATCACCCCCAACGCCATCATCGATAGCGCGGAGTACGGGGCCGCCTCGCTTCCGACCTCATACAAGTATGCAGTTCCCATGGCAGCCGAGTTGATACCGATCGTCAGACCAGCCGCTACCGTATGCGGGTCGTTCATCCCTTGGCCTTGTGCGGGTGTTGCGGTGGTAGGTGCTGTCCTGGCAGCCTGCTGCGCCTCGAGGTCGAAGGACTGGCGGACAGGAACGGTGAGAAGCTCGGTTTGACTAGCCTTGGGTTCGGTCTTAGCTCCTTCAGGCTTGTCTTCGGTCCTCTCGGCGGTGGTGTTGTCAGTAGGTTGCTCTTGCTGCTTGACAAAGCGCGAGAAAATCGTCCGTTCCAACCAGCTGCCAAAGCCAAAGCCCAGTCCCATTTGGAAGATGATCCCACTAATGACTACCATCGTGGCGTTTAGACTGGCGTCTCCGCCCATCATGACCATGACGGGCGCACCCATCGCGATGGTGACGCTGCGAGCGGTGTAGGCGATGTTCCGGGAGGCGGGGGCGAGGCCAATGGCGCGAGTGAGGAGAGGACCTAGGGCGACGTTTCCGAGGGCGAGGATTGAGGAGACGATGAGGACGGTCAACCCGGCGCGGGAGAGTAACTGGCGGCGGTACTCGTAAAGTTTAAGACCCCAGGCCACCAAACCGGCATTCAGGATGGACTGTGCGATATCTCCTGCGGCCATGGAGACGTTGAGTTTGTTTCCCTCCGCATCGACTCCGCCATTGACACTATGTAGGAGGAGGTGGGAGAGGGTTGTCTTGGTCTGCAAGCTATCCAGCATCTTGCCTAAGGCTCGATCGCTAATCGCAGCGTCAAGGTAGATATAGGCCATCATGACAAAGGAAGTCCAGAGTACCGCGTTCAGCGAACCGGTCAGGGTGATGCGGATCCAGGGAGCGAGTCCTTCCGCGCGCTTTACGGCTGCTTGAATCTCGAGCATCGTGAACCAGGTAGCGAACAGGAGAAAAGTCGCCAGCGAGGCGTCGTGGTGCACCGCATATCGTAGGGGGATGCCCACGGTAAAAGTCAGGAACCAACACAAAACCAACATCGGGTTTCGGCTAAGCCATCCTCGAAATCCTGTCTTCGGTGTATCCTGTTGTGCCTCCGTAGGTTGGACTTTCTCAAGTGAAGTTGGGGGTCTGGTCCCTTCACAAGCGCTTTCGTCACCAGAGCAAGAAACACCGAAGCTGAAGCTGCTCGCCATTGAGTCGCGCTCGAAGATGATCTTGGAGGAGATCCAACTCCACCGTTCCTTGCGGCCTTCGATCACTTCGGTATTTTCTGACTCGTAGGTAGGGGAACGTTCCTTCCACCGGACCATCAGTGAGTGGATTGGCAAGGCCAGGATGTAGGTTGAGATCGTGTTGAGGATGCCCGTTAGTACTTGTCTGTGTTAGCATATCTCCCATATAACCTTCAAGGCGAGCGTCTTACCGAAGCAGGCAATAACAAGCCCCACGGTACGGGCATCGGCAAGTGGTCCCCGGCAAATCATGACGAAAGGGATGGTGAAGCCGATGGACATGTGTCGGTTGAGAAGGTTCGTCTGCGCATGTCAGTATGAGGGAGGCCAAAGCGTTCGGCCAGTTCATGCCGGGGTAAGACACTTACCGCGCGGCTCAGATGCTTTTGATAGAACTCCTCCAGTCTGGGAATGACACACCCGCAAGCGGATAAGACGACGAACAAGGCGACCATTGCCAATATCGAAGGGGGAAAGTCCACGCTATGGTTGTCCAACATGAAGTCGATACCGGCGATTAGGAGCTGGGCAACGATGACTAGCAAAGTAGCTACCACACCGTCCCATGGTTGCGTTTGCTTGTTCAAGTGGTGCCGCAGCCTGGCGTAACGCTGCCTCGTTGCTGTTGAAAGGGGGAGGCACATGGCTTCTGTAGGTGGTGCTGAGGTTGGTAAGGATGATAGAGTAGGGGCCATGTTGGACCCTGGGTGTGGAGTCGTGTGAAGAGTTATAATACGGTTTTAGGGAAAGTCAACCTGAGCATATGTCAGGTGATGAGACATGAGCCGAAAAGGAGAGGAAGTGGCAGGCGGCGTTGGACTTGATAAAGGGCTTTTTCGGGGGTTCGCTCTTGACATTTGCAGACACCTCGTGGTGTCTAGGACAACGACTGCAAGAAGCAGGCCTGGACCAGCTGTAGGGTTCTCCCATGGACAAGGCGTGGAGTACATGGGAATAATAGGGGACGGGTTTATCGTTTGTCCTCCCCCACGCCATGTGGTTCGGCGGCGGCGGTCAAGAAAGCCACTTGGCACGGATGGTGTTTGGTATCCCTTGGTTATGGATCTCTTGCTTTCCGCGAAGAGTTTCCGTGGGTATGGTCCGGGTTTGTAGGGGCTGTGTGAATGGTTTGGACGGAGGGTCCTTAGGTTCGGGATAGGATATGCTAGGGGCAGTGACGTCGTGCCAGACAGTGAGGATCACAAAGGGGGAAGTCAACAAGCCGGCAGGAATCCAACAACCTAGAACCTTGACGGCGATACAGATCCCTGGATAGGGGATCGGAGGGGAAGTGGGAGGAGTGATGTGAGTGTGAAGAGGGAAAGAAGGAGGGGATCCTTGTGGTTGAGAGAAAGAAGGGAAAGGGTAGACGAGTGACGAGAGCATCCTCGCGGCGATAGTCGCACGGCAGGATCCACGAGAGCCCATTCCCCTTTGCGATCGAAGGAATAGGCCATGGTGAATGGGGGAATGTATGGGATGAATGGGATGTGATGTGCCAAGAGGGTAAGTGAATGTGTGATGGGAGTTGCTTGTCCACCCACCTGATACTCAGGCCCAGTTCTTCCTTCCTGTGAATGGAATCGTTTCATGTTCTCATGATTAGATGGAAACCCAAGATAGGCAGGTACGGGAGCCTTGACGACGCCGACGACGACAACACAACGAGGACAAGGACGAAGGAGCCTCACAAAGTTCCGAATAGAAAGAGCGGGACAGGAGTACCCGTGGTCTGTGATCCGTGTTGCCGTCTGTCCAAGTCACAGCCATCCCGTTCCAGTCCCGTCCATTACCATATCCATGTCCATGTCCATGTCCATGATGGTGAGCCCCGTATCATATGGCACGCACCTTGTCACCGTGGTGACCCTACAATTACTTGCTTGCTTGCAGTCCCGGGAGTCCAGTGCTGTCTGTGGGTGGTGCAAAGGAGCGACACGTCAACATGTCGGTGTGAAATTTTTGTTGTTGACACTCGTATGGCAGTTGTTGACAGCAGAAAGGAGACTTGTACCATGTTCAACGATAGTTCCTGGTTCCTGGCTCCTGACTAAAGGACGAGCATGTAGCCGCGCCCGTCCGCGATGGCCTGCAGATTTGAGGTCAAACGAAGGAGGACAAAAAGACGCCATGGCCAGTAGATTTTGGAGCGTCAAAGTCCAGGGCGTCTTGGGGCGTCTCCTCTGCCGTCCTTGTCAGTGTCCGTATCTTTCGGAAATATTGTCCCAATTCATCAGTGGATTAATGGGAGCGGGAGGCAGGGGAGTGGAAAGCGAGATCTGTCAGATTAGACGGTGCAGAATTGATTGATTGAAGAGTGTGTGTAGGTAGCTGACTCGAGCCAACGCTCCAGAAGGTATGGGGGGTGTTGGGGTAACCCAAATATGCCCAGAAATTAAGCTTAATTAGGTGGCTGGGAGTCTAACCCTCAACGAGTTAGCCAGAATCCTCACCCTTGAATTTAATATACCCTCTTACATATAGACCTTTTAAAATGGGCAAAAGTAAAACTATTTACAAAGTCTCTCTTCTAGCATCTTAATTTCCCTAGCTAAATTATAAATATCCTCCAATATATTATTACTAATCTCCTTCTCCTTCTCCTTATAAGCTAGCGTATTCGCTTTCCCTATTAATTTCCGGAATTTCTTGTACTCCTACTATCCTAAAATTTTAATTAATCCATCAATTAGTATTTTCTTCGTCTCTAAATACTCAACGTCGATCCTTCCTACTTCCATCTCCTACCTTAACTAATAATTATAAATATTAATATATTTCAATTTAGATATTAAGTTAACTACCTCAACGGTCAATACCCGGATCGTCTAAATATTATTACAATTAATTACGGGCACCTTCACATTAAAAGGAATCTTAATCTTCTTATAAAGCCGTATAATAGCGATAGCTTCTTTTACTATACTAGAAAGAAAAAATAGTTCTACTTTAATAGTTAAAATTAAGACCGTCTTTTGTTTAGTAGTACCTTAGTGAACTATACCCCTAAATAGCTTAATAGTAAAACCTTAAGAGCTCTTTCGATTAGGGGAATTATTAGCGTATAATGCGTTAGAAGCTATCTCTAACTTCTTCGAATTATTATAATAAAAGGAAAGGTTAAAGTAAAGTTCTAAATAGTATAAGACTTTATTAGCAACTTTACGATATTGAGGACCGGGATTATAATTATAATGAATTAATTTATTAGCGGCGAAGGCGATATTTAGCCCAGTAATAACGGCGGTATATATAATAGAACCGACGACGACCTAATATTCCCGGATCTTATCGAAGCTAGCTACGCTATTAAAAGGCAAGAGCTCTTTATTATTTATCGGTATGAAGGCGAAGGTATAGGGATTCTTAATTAATTTAATAATTTTATAAATATACTCCCGTTGAATTAACTAGATTAAGCCTTTCTCCCGGTTTCGAATAATCTCAATACCCAAAAACCATTAAAAATTATCACCTCCAATAAATTTATACTTCTGCTCTAACCTTTTAATAACTAGAGCGACTTTATCGTACTATAATTTATCAAAAGTAAATACAATATCGTCGACGTAGTAAAAAATTAAAATTCTATCGCACTTAAAGATATACGAGTCTTCGAATAACGGTTTAAACCCTAGGCTTTCGAAATCCTATTAAATTTTCGTTGCTATAGTAAAAGAGTTTGTCGGAGACTATAGAGGGCCTTGAGAATCTTAAGGATAATACTATACTTTTAATAATTAGGAAGCATACGTATATAAATTTCTTTATCGAGGTAAACGTTAACAAAGGCATTTACTATATCGTATCAAATAAGCTCGAAATCGAACTTAATAACGTAGGTGATAATTAACCGAGATAAATAACTAACTAATATAGAAGCATACGTCTCTTTACTATAATTATACTACTAATCTCCTCTAATTACGAAGCGAACCTTTACCTTCAATAACCGACTATACTTATTAAATTTATATATATATACTTATATATAATCGAAGATTTAAAAACCTGTAGTACGGGGAATATTTTCGTTGATTTTAACCTATAACCTTATCTCTTTATAGTTATCGAAATATATTTCCTCTATTTACTTAAATAGATTACCCAAATCATAATACTCGAAATTGTAATAAGTTTTTAGAATTGGAGGGAAGTTTTAACATTTAATAGAATCCAATTTACTACCTTTAGAAATTAAGTAGTTAATTTCTACCTTCGTAACTATTTTACCTTACTATTACCTAATTAATTAAGTAAATTTCCTAGCGTTAAACGCGGCTTCCCATAGTTCGAAGGTTGGAAAGGAAATAGGCTCTAGTAAATCTATTATAAGGTCAATGATAAAAATAGTTAGTAATATATTTAGCGGGGTAAGGAGGGTTAGTATATTAAAACGTACCGTACTATTAATTAATTTTAAAAAAATTATAGTTCGTAGCGCTTAGGGTATTGGCCGCTCTAGTTCGTAAAAATTCGTATTTAATAAAGAGGACGTTCTTAATGCTAATTATAAGAAGAAGCGGAAGGTAGACGTAAGGAAAAAATATAGTACGGATAAAAATATAAAAGATTTTTTATAACCGAAAAAGAAAGGAAGTATTACGTTATTTTATAAAGTTTATAAGCGAAGCCCTTACTTAATAACGCGCTATTGGTATTTATTACCTAAAATTAAGAATAATCTTAAATAGAAATTAAGTGGCCCTATTTAGAAGCTTATTAATAAAAATTTCGAGAAGTATCCCGAAATTAATAAAGAGGTTAGGAAAGTTAAGAACTAAATATAGGACCGCTTTATTACTTTTATATAAATTATCGCTTCGAAAAATTAAAAGAGATAAAAAATCAGTATTTATAATTTAATATTTTTCATTAAATAAGGTATTTTTAACGCAAATAGTAGTAAGGGTAATGTTTACCTACTTAAGAATTTTATAATCTTCGATTCTAGGGCTTCTATTTATATTTTTAATAAAATTAATTATTTCTTTTCGTTTTGAATAGCGTCCCTAAAGGATTGTATTTAGGCTAGTGAATTTTAAATACCTATTAAGGGTTTTAGGATTATTAATGTAGAAATATAGGGAGAGAGGGGAGTTTTAAGGCTATAGTTAAAAGAGGTAGATTTCTACTTTAATTTTACTATAAATCTCATATTACTTCGCCTACTTCGAAAATAAGGGTTTATTAAAATTATAAACCCCCTAATAATTACCTCCGTCAGCTAGACAATTTATTCTTTTATTTCCTTTAAGAAATCTATTATTAAATAATCTTCGAATATTTACTCCTTTCATTTAATTATGCTACTTTTTTTATTCGTTGAAATCGTTTTAATTCCTTTATTAACCGTCGTGTATATTAAATACCCACCAAATTCTAATACAAACGATTCGATTATTACGGTCCTTAAATCTTTAAATACTTTTATAACGTCGAGGGTACTAAATTTAAAGGGCCTACTATTTATTAGTATGATGTATATAGTATTTCAAAAATTAAATAATAAATTAAACGAAAATTGCAAAATAGGGAATTTAACCCGGGAGAGCGTTTTGCCGTTGATTTCCTCGAATATTGTTAGTTATTATAGACTTAATATATATATAATAATAATAATGGACTTATAACAGATTTACGGGCTTATATAATAATATATAAGTATAAAAATAAAATTTATATTTTTATATATAAATACTATTTTTGTAACCGGAGAAAAATTCCGGTCCGAAAGAAAGGTCCGATTTGCAATAGGGATCACCCCTGAATAGAATCCGGAAGAAAACCCGGAGGAAAATCTAGACCTCGACCTTCGTAGTCGAATTCTGGCCTCAATGTCAGTTAAACGAAG